TTTTTAGGTATTTTGTAAAACAATATTTTGTTAGAAAGAAATTTAAAAATTGTTGAATGAAGTTACGGCGTTTTTACTTTGGACGGCAGTATTGAGGTGTTTCCTGCGAACATCCTGTTTATCGATCCTTTTCCATAAGTTTAAATGGCAGATCAATCGATATATCGCAAAGCACACCACTGCAATCGACCTGCTCCCGCTGCATCACGGATAGAGTCATCATGGGGAGCGGTTCGTTGACAGAGGAGCTGGCGATGGAGTCAAATTGATTTGAAAGGATGTTATTTTCGGAAAAGATCCGGAATTAGACACTGAATTCAGGTGTCGGTCGAGGCGCAGGCCAGAAATATCTCGGGATAGGCGAACGGGCAGTGGCGTGGCGTGCTTTGCGATTCATCGATTGATCTGCCATTTAAACCTATGAAAAAGGATCGATGAACAGAATGCTCGCAACGGACTCTTTAATAATCGATTCTTTAACACAGTTTCAAGTGGGGAAAAATCGATAATCGAGCATTCACGCCTCGCCATTGACAGAGAGAGAGAGAAAAGTTGCTCGACGTAAGGTAAACAGCATCGATCTTTTTTTCTGCATAATGGCTGATGCATCGAGAAGAAAGATTATCTTGAGCAAGCGAACGTATTGAAATACTCAAGCTCTGTAGCACTCTTGTACCCTTTAATCACACATCTCGCGTTGTGCTAGAATGTGTTTTCTTCATAGCACAAGACGGAATATTAGGAGAGGAAAAATTATAAAACTAGTGAAAAAAGTTGTAGATAGACCAAAGAGCTCATCTCATGTGGAATTTTTTCTAGAAAAATACGCAAACAAATTCGACTTAATCTTTCAATTTTTTCCCCGGAAAAGATAGAACATGCTTGGAATGAATGGCGATTTCTTTTATGTGAAATTAAACCCGCACAGCTCTTTCAAGCATGCGTGTAGAGTTAAAACGTTTTCATCCAACAACATGTTCGCGCCCATCAACGCAAATGGAGATACACAGTTTTTCGCGCTAAAAATCGGTTTTTCACTTAACAAGAATCGCCTAGATGCATGAAATAATACCCTAAACTGTTTCATGCATACAGGCTATCATTGTCAAATTTAATAGATACAAAATGCAGAATTACAAGGAATTGCTAATTTCACCTCGCATTCATATCACTCGCGGCTTTTGGGCGCTATATAGACTCTGGTACCATATTTAACTCCTTGATTTTCAACAGTACATTTTTGACATTGATTGTCGCATTAGGAATGAATTTCAGATTTTCATCATACACTTAGGGCCGGATTTACCTACTTGCCGCCCCTTCTCATTCGTTTTGAAACATGAATAAAATCTATCAAAGGAACGTGCAGCGAGGAGGGGTGCATCTAGAGTGCATAAGACACGTTTACTCGTGTTGGACACATTTTTGGCGAAGCCCTGTCAACATTCCTAGCAAAAGATCACGAAACTTTGCGCGAAAGTTTAGCTCTGTAAACCTATCTCTGTGTGGAAAAGGTTTTCCATTTATAAGAAATGAACGAAAAAATCATGAAAGAACAATCTGACCGCGCAATGCGTGAAGCATTCCTACAGTCTTGTAGGCGTTCTGCGTTTCACACCGACTGCTCCCGAAAACGCACTGTGTTTGACGCAATGCGTGAAGTATTCATGCAATCTGGTAGGCGCTAATATGTGTTGCATGCCGACCGCCGCGTCGAGGACTTCTCCTTTATCATCTCAAGTCCTCGTCTGCATTGCTCTCTGCGTCGTTTCAGGCCAAATTGCGTTTTTGGCTCCTCTCTATACTCGACTAATTAAAGGTGCTGTCTCTTATATCACCGAAAGACGACAAAATTAGAAATTTCTACACTCTCAGGAAGTGGAGATTTTGTCGCCTTTTCTCTTTTATAATTTTTCCCCCTGAATCCGAAACTTTTTTAAACCTACATTTAAAAAAATTGCAAAATTTGCCGCCCCCTAAATTTGCCGTCATGGGCCACGGCCCATGTGGCCACCCCCTAAATCCGGCTCTGCATATACTCATCGTGAATTTAAGCCACCTTCGAATCATCAGCGCCTTTTGCCTTTTCCCTCTTTAGTGACTGATTTTAGCTTCCACCTCTACGGGCCGATTACTGAAATTGATAGACAAGGCGATAGGCAACGTAGACATAGAGAGTATAAAGCTATCCTATCGGTTGAAATGGGTGGTTCCTATAGACTAAGGGAGAAAATTATGAATTCACTATAGGGTCCGTCGTGTGTTGCCGTTACTTAGTCTAGTACCTACCTTCTTTGTCCATTGAAACCAACCGCATCCATCAATAGGATCCCTGTATATTTCTTTTGTCTCCTACGTCTATAGCTTTGTCTATCAATTTCAACAATCAGCCAACAGTGTTCTGTAATTATTTAAGAGGGGCTGAGGGATGCCTGATTTCAAATCCGTTAGAAGCGCTTCTCGTGCTTTTTAAACCAGTTGATTTACAAAACTTTATATTGATTAAAAACATTTGCTTCTTGAAAAGAAGTTTGCAACAAACCCACTTCCACCAATAGCATCCCTGTATATCTCTTTTCTCTTCTTTGTCTATAGCTTTGTCTATCAATATCAATAATTGGCACATTTTGTCCGACTCCATATTAAAAGTCGAATGGTGCACGTATCCTATGACTTTGTTTCCCTTTTCGCGGTAGCCTTGCCACGGCCGTATTACTTGGGTTCGGCGAGGTGTTTGCTCCAGGTCAGTGCTTATAACGGTTACTCGGCAAGCTCCAGTACCGCGGAGGCACTGCTGTAAACGCGGATGGAGCGCGGAACGGGCCGAGCTTAGGGTACGAACCGCGGAGTAGTGTTCGCGCAAGCACAGCTAACGAATACCCGATAATTAGCCGCCTTGGCTTACGCTCCACTTACCGCACTTTTCCGGCCACCAACTGCGGCCGCTCCGAATTAGGGACAGAGCAAACGAATCGCGGGGATTGTAATAATCTACTGGGCTGAGGAAAAACGCCGTATGGACATTCGAGAGTTGCCAAGTTTCCTGGGAGGAAACTTAAATGTTCATTTTTGAGGAGAGTTAGTAATATTTTCTATTGATGATATCGATCTAATGGTGATGTTGCATGTGTGAGGAATTTGCGATTTGACCGTTGGTTCTTATGTAAAAGTTTGCGAGAAACACGATGGTGCCACTGGTTTTCTCTGAAATCAACTCCCAAGCTCAAAAAAAGCTCTCAAAGTGAGGACAAAATGGAGGGGATATCCCACCCTACCCTGAGAGTCCACCTCTACATCAAAACCAACTCTCCATGCAAAGATAGGGAGCAAAAACATTGACAGGGCTGCCACTTTATTTGGGGACTCTAAAACTGAAAACACGGCAACCCTGCTAATGGATTTGCTCCCTTTCTTTGCATGGAGAGTTTATCTTGATGTAGAGATGAACTCTCAGGGTAGCGTGGGATATCCCCTCCATTTTGGCCTCAACTTGAGAGCTTTTTTTGAGCTTGGGAGATGATTTCAGAGAAAACCAGTGGGACCATCGTGTTTCTCGCGAACTTTTACATTAGAATCAACAGTCAAATCGCAAAATCATCACACATTCAACATCTCCATTAAATGTTCATTTTTGAGAAGATTTGGTTATATTTTCCTTTGAAATTTTCCGATGATATCGATCTAATTACGAAGAAATTCTCTGAAAATTCGAACGGGAAATATTCACAAGTTTTCCTGAAATTTCATATTTGATAAAAAGAAATTTGGCAACTGACGAATGCGCATACGGCGTTTTTCCTTATCACGGCAGCAATGGCTCGAGGCTTTACTCGCGAACGCGTTTCTACGTCGCTCAGGCTCGATTGACGTGGTCATGTATACTGCCGTACTAAGGAAGAGCGTCGTATGAACATTCCAGACTTGCCAGATTTCCTTCGATAAAACGTTTATTTTATGAGGAAATTTATGAATTTTTTCCCTCGACATTTTCAGGAACTTCAGGTGAAATTGCGGACAAAATTACCTGAAAAATGGGAAGGAAAATATTCATATGTTTACTAGGAAATTTGTGATTTATTAGAGGAAATTTTGGCGACGCCTGAAGGTTCATACGGCGTTTTTCCTTAGCATGGCAATATAGTACCGTAGAGTCGTATTCTTAGTCCGATTTCCAAAGTGCGAAACCACGTATCTCCGTCTACGACGTCGTAGACTAACTCTGCCGTGCTGAGGAAAAACGCCGTAAGTGCCTTCAGACGTTTCAAGTGAACTAATTAATATTTTTCCTCCAATTTTCCAGATAATTTTGTTCGCAATTTCATCTAAAGTTCCTGAAAAGTTCAAGGAAAAATATTCAAAACTTTCCTCGATGATTGACATTCTATCGAAGGAAATTTGGCAACTCTCGAATGTCTCCCTCGAAGAGATCTTCGTTGACGGTACCGAGGAGAACGATGTAGAATAATCACCTAATAAGAAGATTGAGGATCTTCACTGTATACTTAAGAGTAATATATAAGACAGTATATTGGGAAATAGAACGGGGGGAAACACAACATAGAAAAAATAACGTAAACAAATAGGTTCAACTAGCAGAATGTAATTATAGGCCTTCGGGTTATGATCTGTTAGTCATAATTTTACCCTGTTTAAAATCTAATAAAACTAATTTTCGTTCAAAAAAAAAAAAAAAAAAAAAAAAAAAAAAAAAAAACTCTTGAATGCGCATACGGTGTTTGTTCTCAGCGCATGACAGTAAGTACTGTCAGTCTGTGTTTTTTCCTCGGAAACCCAGTCAACGTAAGCGTGGCCCTGTAGTTATCACAAAAAAGTCAGCTACTTTTTCTTACCGTGTACTCTTCCCTACCATGCAGTTGGCCACATCTTATCGTTCTCCGTGCTCCTCAACATTCAGTCATCTCGTCAACAATATTTTCTTTAAATCCTCGTATGTCAACAGGACTGAGTGTTTACCTTCCACTTTGTCTATCTTGTTCCAGAAGACGGGACGTGACACGGATTTTGCCGGGCGCGGACGAGATGCGGCTGTTCAAGCGTCGCTGCTCGGATCCCAGCCCGCAACTGGTGAGTCTGGCACCTCTCACCGTCGAAGACGACTTCGAGGACCCCAAACTCAAGTCCCGCTCGGGTCACTCCTCGCCAGCAAGGGCTCCAGCAACCCCTCTCACCGGAATTCCACCCCCCGTACCGTCAGCTGGTAAGTTCACCGGTCCGTCAGTACGTAAAGATCTGCAGAGGGTCAGTGACGCCAGTCACAGAACTGCGTTTTGATGGCTTATAAGCTTATGCGGCATGAGATGGATCACATTTTGAAATAAGGAACCGCCATTTCTGACTCATTTTAAATGACATTTTAAATGACAGGAACCACCTCAAAAATAAATGCATACTACTACTTGTTAGTTAGTTAGTATATTTTAAGACGTTCAATGTCACAGGCTATTAACTTCTTTACGGAGAATTTTGAAAATGGGAGTATAAACGAAAATTTAGATTTTTAAATTAAGAGAGGTGAAGAGTTCCTTCATTTTGAAAAACATTTCATTCATGAATCAAGTCATGAAAGAGTTAGTTAGTTATTATAATTTTAAGACATTCAGCGACTCAGGCTATTAACGTCTTTACAGATAATTTTGAAAATAGGAGTATAAACATGAACGAAAATTTAGATTTTTAAATTAAGAGAGGTTAGGAGTTTTAGAATTTAGAGAACAGACTCTAAGAGCAGATAAAAACATATGTTCATGTGTACACTGTACGGATATGATAAGATGAAAACCAAAGCGGGAGCCTAGGAAACGCTCCAATGCCAAATTAAACATGTTTCAGTAACAGATGCAGTCAAAATTTATAGTCCTCTTTAACTAGTTATTTCGCGCGCATTCAATCTTGTAGGATACTGTGCAACGCCTCTGACGCGAGATAGTTGTTTAAGGCGTTGCGGCGCGGCAGGCAACCAGCGTGACACGCGCATAGGCGCCTACAAACCTAACGGGATACTTTACGCGTTGCGCAATGCGTGAAGTATCCCGTTGGGTTTGTAGGCGCTAAAGCACGTTCTGCGCTGCTAACACGCCGCTCCGCTCTGTGTTAGGATCTAATATTTAAACTCGCGGAGTCAGCGTTTTTCAACTCATGATTTTGAAATGTTTGCACTCTCTGCATTGATTATCCCCTTTTAAATTGATGAAAAAGAAATATGCACTACTGGAAAATATACTGTGTTTTTTTGTAAATATAATAGTCGTTCCGTGTCAAATTTAATGATTTCCAAAGCATTCAAATTTATTATTTTATGTTTTGGGCTTTTACTGTGCTGCAGCGTGGTGTAAGCGCAACTAAACGCTCAAAATTGGACGTATTTGACTCAATTTCGAATTTACTAAGCGCGATTTTATAGAGATAAAAGTGCGACAAGATGGAGTGTAATCGCTCAGTCATTGATGATCCTAGCGATTTTATCGCGAATAAATCGGAACTTAATTTCCAAATCTCGTGATTTTTCCGTTGAAAAATGCTACCTTGGGGAACACCAATAGAAAAAATTCGATCATGTGAACCGAACGTTCGGGGTCCATATCATCCCAAGTATTCGGTTTGTGAAACTGAACCTTCGGTTCGTATGGTCGATCGTCCGGCTTGAATGACCAAACTTAGTTCGTTTGTTCCTTTTACCACACAAGTTCGGTTTGGCAAACCGAATTACTTGGGATGATATGGAACACCAAACGTTGGCACATGTGACCGAACTTTTTTTTTCAGTAAAGATGTCTTGATTTCATCGTTCATTTATCTTTGTTGCAGCGCTTTCAACGTGGGGCAAGAAGGTCGGCAAAAAGCTCGACAAAATGAAGAGAGCCGACTCCTCGGAGATCCTCTCATCCGCGGGGCGACGGAAAAATTGGAGCCCGAGCCCAGTTCCTAGCAACATGCCGAACGGCCAGACCTCCAGAGCGAAACGCATCTCACGAGTGGAGTCCCTCCGGAATCTCTTCTCCCGCGGGGGTGCCAACAACCACGCAGTCAAAAAACCCACCAAACCCTGCGAGAACGAAGAATGGCTCAAGGAGGAATGCCAGAGAGGCATCACGGATCTCTACCAACTGGACAAAGTCCTCGTGCCGAACCGCGAGAGACACTCCGGAAAAACCTCCAACTCCCGGCGAAGAGTGCTATCCGAGAGTGTCACGGAGAGTTTCCTCGAGGAGCAGTATCTAGTAGAATACCTGCTCAGCCACAAGAACACTATGGGACTCAGCGACGAGAACCACAACCTGGAGAAAGGCTTAAAGACACTGAGCTACGACGATCTTCTGACAGCTTTCGAGACTTTAAAAGAAAGGGATCGCATTAAAGCGCAGAACAGTCGGCTGTCAGGAACAGCGTTGGATCTGTGGAAGCGGAATAACGATAGCGGGGGCGTCATCCCGAACGGCTCATTCAATTACTTAGACTCGCTAACCCGGGAGGGTGGCAATTACGACCGACCGAAAACTAATCGGTCCGCGAGCGAAGACTGTGATAATAGGTCGCCGAAATTCCCGAAAGTTCAGTTTAAATCTAGTTGTAAATCAGAGTCGGACGCGGGTCTTTACTCGAGTGTGGAAAGCTCTGTCAATAATCTCGGAAAGATCCTCACGAATATGCTCTACGTCAAGGCGGACGAGAGTGGGTACGAAAGTGATTCGACGAAAAACGGCGCCGATTCGCCACGCAATTCGATGAAATCCGCGGCGTCTACCTGTTCCAACGACCCCGCCACCCTATCTAGTCATGCTCCCCGCAAGAACTGCTGTCAACCGGAGCAACTCGTCAAGTGTGATGACGCCAAGCTTGTGCTCAACCATGGCTCGGTTGATCCCGAATTTTTGGCGGTGGAGCCGGGGATCAAGTGCAATAAAACGGATGAGGAGAAGCTTTCGCTCTCGAAGATTCATGTGCCGAGGTCGCGGTTTCTGTCGGCGCAGGAGGAACGTTCGTGTGGCGGTCGGAAGTCCCGATGCGACTCGAGGTCCAACCCTGAGGATCGGTCGTCCCTCCTAGGCTCGAAATTCGCTCAGATGGATGGTGAGTATGAAAATGAACTCCGTAAAATAATTCCTGTTGAATCCACTATGGTGAGTAATAGAGTCCCTTTATACCCAGAGTTAAGACAACTCGATTATCAGCTGACTGGCAGCCGGCCTTGGCTGGCCATGGAGGCCGAAACGAGTGCACCCAAACGAACGATATTGAGGGATAAGGATCAGGAATCCTGCGATGTCTGTCACACAAAAACAACAACATCAACAAATTGATCAATTAAAACGAAAATTAGATTGGTTTGTGAATAATTTCTTAATCTATTTTCATTTTAGACCGATGAAAATAAAAATTTACTCTTGATAAACCACAATCAGGTAATATTTTCATTATTCTTGTTCACATTCGAGGTACCGCCATCTTGGTGCACTCGTTTCGGCCTCCATGAGCGAGAACCAATCAGAATTGGATTTTTTTTTAGGCCACTTTCAGCCCAACCAAAAGTGAGTTGTCTTAACTCTGGGTATAAAGGGACTCTAGTGAGTAAGAATAGAAGTCTGTAAGTCAAAGTACAGGAACAGGGTAGAATAGTGCTAGGTCCGCGCTATTTTGCGGGGAAATTAAGGCCAAATATTTTCACTTTTCATGAGGTTCGGAACCAGCGGCGTGGCGTGCTTTGCGATCTATCGATATTTCCCCGTTTGAAGCTGTGATAAATAATCGATTATTAAAGTGTTCTCTGCGAACACCCTGTTTATCGATACTTTCCATGTGTTTAAATGGCAGATCAATCGATGGATCGCAAAGCACGCCACGCCACTGTTCGGAACACTAATAAGTACGAGTACAAGTCTAAGTAAAAGTCAACCTTCTATGGTAAATAAGAATAAAAACCCTGTAAATCAATGCTGCCTTGCTAAGTAAAAACTTCGTATGAGCAATCGTATGTTGCCAAATCCCCTTTCGGAGAATGTTCATTTTTGATGAAAGCTATGAATACTTTTCCTTGAAATTTTCAGACTTTTTAGATCAAATCACGAACGAAATCCTCTGAAAAGTCGAAAGAGAACTATCCACGGGTTTTCGTGAAAATCCATGGTTTGTCGAGGGAAATTTGGCAACGCCTGATGGCACATACGGCGATCCTCCTTTGCACCGCAGAATGCACGAGATGCAATTTGGGGGATCAATTTTCGAGGACTGTGTATCTCAAAAATACTCTTTCCATTTAAAATATCATTTAATAGATTTTCATTTCTAGTTTCTAAAATTAATAATTTATACATTTAAATTATATTCACTAATTGAAGTATTTAAGTTTTCTCATACTCACAAGATTTTTTTATCACTTAAGTCGAATGGGACGCATTTCTGTCGAACGGAACTATGTGCTTTAAGACATGAGCCCTAAGACCCATAAGAATATATGCATAACAGGACTCACAGCATAATGCACATACAGTAGACTCTGGATTATCCGGCTTCGTATTTTCCGGACTCTCGATTATCCGGATCGATTTTGCAACCATGTAACTACGTACGCATTCCGATAAGTGAGCGGATCCGCGGAGAAGCGGTCGCAAGGCATATTGGCGCCTGCAAGGCTGAAAGAATACTTCTCGCATTACGCCAAACGCAGTGCAGTCGGTTAGTTAGCCTAAAACGCACATTAGCGGCTCCAAGACTGCATCAATACTTCACGCATTGCGCGCTTTAATCGTTGTATTGTAATTTATCGTTGTCGGCAACCATTCACAATCACCATCGAGTCGTTCAGTTTGGCGTTAACCTTTTAAATTCGTGTTGGTATGTACATGATGTATACATAATAAGAATACTGTGGTGTTGGTTGGTGGTGTTTGTGTTTACTATTATTATCCGGATTTCTTTTTCATCCGGATCGGGCCCGGCACCAATTAATCCGGATAACCTAGAGTCTACTGTAGTTCCATTCGACAGAAATAGTCCAATTCATCTTTGTTCATCTCACCCATTTTTACATTATTTTTGCCAGGCCGAAAATCCCACCCAGGATCATTTCCGAGCCCAGACCACCAAACCTTCAGACGCAATTCAATATCCAGCATAGAAGAACGTGGCTTCAGACTCCGTTCCGTCCTCGAGCCAGATAACTCGAAACCGCCCACGAACAACCGAAGAACGATCGTCGACATCGTGGCCAACCGGTCACCGGTGAGGGACATCGGTGGCGTTTCCTATCTACGGCACCCGGCGTTGGAGCTCCCGGTCGAGGGGCGGTACCAGGCGGACAGGGTGGTGTCCAACAAGCAAGTTTTCCAAGACTCTCTAGTGTGTAAGAACTGCAAGCCGCTGCAGAAGTCTCTCGAGGGTGCGGCCTGGCCGGCGTGTCAGTCGAGCCTCTACTACCAGTTCCTAAAAAACCGGAGCTCGAAGAAGCCGCCTGCTAATCCGGCGACAAGGACGACGATGAGCTCGAATGGTGGTGGAGTCAGGCAGAAGGAGTTGAAGAGGATACGGCTCATGAAGGACGAGACTGGTGAGCTGGGGATCTACATCGAGCGCCAGGACCCTTCTAGGTCCGCCGCATCGTCCTTCATGATCTCCTACATCGAGCCCAATGGAGTTGTCGACAGGTTTGTTCCGTTTTTATGTGTCGATGGCCAAAGTGAGTCGCCGCGTATCTGCATTGCAGAGTTTCAAAAAGTCTACTTCTATTTGATTCGTTTCAAGAGAAACAAGCCAAGTTAATAGATTGTGATTCATACAGAATATAATATTCTGCTAAAGGGGAGTAAGATCAAAGATTCACGAATCTAAAGAAAAAGTCAAGTATGACAAGAAGTTCACGTTGGCCACTTTCGCACTTTCGGTTTTCGCATTTGGCCAATGTATTGAAATTCGTATTCGCACTAATTTACAGTGTTTTCTTAAACATTTTCCACCTAAATGGGGCTCTACATGACTTAAATTATGATTGAGGGCGTCTTAAGGACACCTTTAACGGAGCATCACGAGAAGGACTTTATTAAGACACGTGCGTAAAATTCGTCAGTTTGACTATAGAAGCAGATCCTTGCAAGGTGTCAAAATGGACTACATTTTGCAATTGGGAACTAGAAATTCCGGCCCGGTTTAAAAACAACGTATGTGCCATTAATTTCCCTATGCACGTGAGTGTTTTTTCAAATGAGCCGGAATTTGTAAGTCCAAATTGCAAAATGCAGTCCAAATGATTTACTACCGCAAAATATATATTAGGGGGGCGTAGCGGTCAGGGGGCGTACCCCTTAGTTTACTTTAAGGGCCCATTCCAATTTTTTTTTTTTTTTTTTTTTTTTTTAAACGAGAGCAAATAGATCCATCGTGGTATGACCGTATTGCTGGAAGTATCTCTTCACACATAAAAGCCACACATCTCTGTGTGTATCTCTTCACACATAAACGCATGATGTAGTGGCCCGATTCAACGATAAGATACAAGTATAAGATCGCTAAAAACACGAGTAAAATAAGGCTGGAAAAATTGTTATTTTCTGCCTTGTTATACGCATGTTTTTACTTTTTAGTGTCACTACTAGTATGTTATCCTCACTCATGTTCCTATTTCGATATTCAATCTTACTCATTTTTGTAATCCTTGAATTCGTTCCGTTTCAGGGACGGCCGATTATCCGTGGGCGACGAAATCGTGAAAGTGAACAGTTCCCGTCTCCGAGGATTGACGATCCAAGAGGCGAGACGAACCCTCCAGAACACTCCCACGGAGGTCGAGATCGTCATTAGCCGGGACACGAACAAATTCGAGCCGGACTATCACAGTCAGGAACGATTCGACCCGGAGAAGCGAAGTCACCACCAAACCAAACCTCCGTCCATCACGGATAGTGAGCTCCGGAGGAACGATGACACTGGAATACGACTCGATTCGATTTTTCATCCCCGCGCTTTCGTCCAATCCTCGAAAAGGCCAAAATCCTCCTCGCACAGGACGAGGATTGAATTCGCGCCTACCGTCCGACAGGCATCCATGCCGGAGATTAACCTTAGGGACCATGCCTCGAACCCCAATGTCAACAGGTATTTCGAACTTAAGGCACTTATTTCCACTGCCGTACAGTGGAGCGAGTCAATAGGTGAGGTCGGAAAAAATTCGGAAACTTTAAAAACTTATAACTCCGTTAAATCAAAACTCTGAGATTTTAAAAGGGGTTCCATTGGTTTCCTCGTGAGATTTTCTTCTATAAGCACCCCTTAAAATTTAAAATGTGACGGATTGGATACAAAAATTTGCACTTTTAGTCAAAACTTTCATATCCGACCTTTTTGATTGACTCGATCCACTGCGTGCCGTGCTACGGAAGAACGTCGTATGAGCACTCTGGAGGTGCCAAATGTACTCTAAAAAATATTTATTTTTGAAGAAAGTTATGAACATTCGGACCGCGTTAGATAAACAAAGAAGATGAAGGAGGTATGAAGCACTTCTATTGGTTGAAATGTGTGGTTCTCATAGACTAAGGTGGTAAATGATGGACTAAATACAGGGTCTCTCGTGCGTTGCCGTTAGTTAGTCTATTATCTACCTCCTATGCCCATTGCATCCACCCGCTTCCACCAATGGAATCCCTCCATATCCCTGTTCTCTCCTATGTATATGGCTTTGTCTATCAATTTCATCAATCAGCCCGCATACTGAAAAAAAAGATTGGTAGAATTTACCATTCCTTCACGCTGTATTTCACACAGCGTCAATTCAGAGTCAATTCTACCAGATGAAAGGTAAACGTTACTATATACTGGTACAGGTAACCATTCGTCCGGCAGAATCGACTTTGAATTTCACACAGCATTAAGGAATGATAAATTCTACCAAACTATTTTTTCAGTGCAGAGCCAGGGTTTTTCTTTCAATATTCAAATATGTGGTACTAAATACTATTCCTTGTACTTTCTGTACACAGACCTTTCCTATCGAGCAGTCGGAGCTTCAGCAACGTTTCAGCGGCGGACAGCAACGCGGAACAAGCCAAAAGCAACGATGCAACGCACCGTGTCAGTTCCATCGGCGAGGAGCTCTCCCGCAAACCGCCACTACCTCTCCCGAAATTCTCATCCAGCAAGGTCGCGCAAGAGGCGAACGGGGATGACCCTCCACCGGTCGTCGAACCCGTCACAGGGATGAAGAAATTCTCATGTCGACCCCGGGCGCCGCCCCCTCCGGCAGCGGCCCCGCCCCCTGTCTCCAGGCACAACTCCCTCAACATGTCTGTGTTCACCATAACCTACGAGAAGGGCCGGGGGAAGAAATCCCTCGGTTTCAGCATCGTTGGAGGATGCGACTCCCCCAAAGGGAATCTGGGAATTTTTGTCAAGACCATTTTTGCCACCGGTCAAGCGGCCGAGGAGGGCTCCTTGCAGGAAGGTGGGTATTCCATGATTATTAAATAGGCGTAAAAGGACCCTAGAGTCCCTTTATACTGAAAGTTAAGACGATGTGAATCCATTTCTGATTGGTTCCCGTATTTTAGGCCTTCACATTGTCACATACGGGAATAACGATTACATGTCCACCAATTGCAAAGATTATAATCTGGAATGGACCTGGGAATCAAGGGTTCGGCAAGGAACAAACGGAATGAGAGAATGGACGGAGAAAGGAATTTGAGAATGAGCCGATCAAAGATTACGAAAAATTTCGAAAATCGCCACTGGTTTGTCAATCATCTCCCTCTCCGTTAGTAAAAGTATGTTCATTGTACTAAAAAAAACGATACAAATTACTTAGATTATACAGAGTTGTGATGTATAGTTTAAGTCTATGGCACATTGGTATAGCAGTGTCTGAAAATACTCAGTTCTAAGGGCCTTTAAGAAGCTCTACAGCTTGAATGATGGTGGCGTGAAAGTTCACGACAAAGGTCTTCGCGTATAAAACTCCTTCAATCATACTCGACGCAACATTTCATTCATTTGTGCAACTGAATGGTTACGAACTAGAGTTGCACAAAATCTGATTTATATCGACATTTTCTCGCTAATCGGTTGATAAAAAATGTCAGACTAATACACTAAATTGACGCTGAGAATATGAGGATCGAAATAAATCCGATCTCCTGTTTTCGGTCTCTTTATTTTTGAGGACAACATCTGGAAAGTTCGGTACGATACGCTAAAACATGCACGCCCAGTGCGATTTTGCAAGTTGGTATCACTGTGTTTCCTCCATCCAAATCCATTGAAAAAATCGATTTTAAGTGATGCAAGCTGCCTCAACAAGAATCGATTATTTTACATACATTTAAACAGAAGAAAAATAGTGTTGCCAACTTTTAAAAATCGCCACTGGTAGGTGGCGACCATAAATAGATGTGTGTGTAATGAATTTCGCCCATGGTGAATTTGAGTTTTTTTTATGATCCCTCGATTAGATTTATATATTTAACGGAGAATAAACAGAAAATGTTTTTCCTAATATGATTTATCTTTTTAGTGCAGAAGATATAAAACAGAGGAACTCTTTTTCAGAATGACCCTCGTGCTTCTTTTTCCTTGCGATAGAACTTAAATTGAAGGAAAAAATAAATTTCTGTTTTTTGTCAAATAGTTGACTCACAAGGCATTTCCTTTTCATGTGTGATCAGGGTATTTTTCATTTTCTTGATGTTTCTAAAACATTTTTCACGAATATATTTTTGAAAAAAAAACAGGTCTGCATTTTGCATAGGCTGCAATTCAGCAATCTCACGCTCATGGGAGATTAGCATTCACAACTCCGTTTCTCAAAATTACGTTTACTTTAACTGTAAAATTGAAATATTCGTGAGACTGATTCCGTTTGACATTCATGTGCACGGCTTTTGGTCCCAAAATGTCTCAGGAACACTCTGATACTCCATACTTTGATAGCAATAATTTTTTTTGTTTGGATTGCAAACTCCCTTTTCCGTGGATGGTTACGAATAAAATGTTTCTCTGTTGCAGGCGACAAGATATTAGCTGTAAACGGTGAATCGCTGGATGGATTAACTCATGGCGAGGCAATTGCAATTTTCAAGGATATAAAAAGTGGACCTGTGATTCTTCACGTTACAAGAAAAGAAACGGGCCGGAATTGATAGTAATGAGCTTTTTTAGACCAAAAAAAATTTATACCTCATTTTACACTATGTATGTTTCACTTGAAATATGTCAAAGTCAAATATTAATGAAGTCAATTTTCTACATAAAAAATACACAACTAAACTGACAATGTTTTCAATAAAAAATATAAAACTTTAACGCTGCATAGAGTCTTGAACCTTTTATCTTCAACCCGGTCTTTACCTCAGAAAAATTTCGCAGGGACGAGTTTGTCTATCCGGATTTTTCTATTCATTGAAATATAAAACTAAAAAACTGAGCAGGAACTACTTACAGTAAAGTAAATATGAATCAGAAACTATAACTAATACTTGCCCAGAGATTAGTTGCTATAAATTGTTGTTTTTGTCATATTTATTTCATTTCAAATCATTCACTTCAACCTCAAGACAGGGTCAGTACAGAAATCCATGATCCTTCATCAAAACATAAGAGAGTCATTCGTATTTTCTGCATGCACCCGATAGTTCAGACCTCATTCTTCGAATAAAGAAAATAGAAAAGAAGAAAAGAAGAAAAGAGGAAAAAAATTACACAGTCTATTTGACCCAAATCCGATATTAAACTACCTAACCTCAGTCTGCGTTGCAATGATAAATTGATCTCAAAGCTACTCCTGGATTAATCTTGACTTTTAAAAACAGCAATGGGCCTGTTGCAAACTTTTGCTAGAGCAAAAATAAGAGTTGTTTCCTATAGATAATGCCTCAAAAATCACGATGAGCGCATCGGCAAAGTCTGAAATGCCTTCATAACTTCACAATCTGCGTAAGAAATTTGCGTTTTTTTGAGCTTCCCGCTTCAAAAACGATACTACGGCACAGGTGAACATTTTGTTAGAGGAGTCGCTCCATCGTCGGCAATATTCATCATGGCCGACGCTTGCGCAGTTCCGCGCGTAATTCGAGGAGAGTTCAAGGTCAATCAAGGCGGGTAAGGAAAATATGAACGTAAACACGCCGATTGTTATCTGGTCTAATCCTGTTCAGGTGTTATCTCGTCCCTTCACAGGTGTTTTGGCGGATTGTCGTCGGCCATGATGAGTATTGCCGACGATGGAGCGACTCCTCTAACAAAATGTTCACCTGTGCCGTGGTATCGTTTTTGAAGCGGGAAGCTCAAAAAACCGCAAATTTCTTACGCAGATTGTGAAGTTATGAGTGCATTTCAGACTTTGCCGATGCGCTCATCGTGATTTTTGAGGCATTATCTATAAGAAACAACTCTTATTTTTGCTCTAGCAAAAGTTTGCAACAGGCCCATACCTACGTCAGGAGAGGAAAGAACTTTTTGCAAAATCAAATTGTTATAACCAATTGCCTGAGGTAAAATTGTTCTCAACAACAGACTTGAGTTGATTTTGACTTGTAAGTTTGGTAGAGTAAAACAAGGGCAAAATAGGATATACTAATTCTTTATTTTGGTTTAATAATCAGATTAAATAAACCGATACTCAATTGAAGATAAATAACAGCAACTGCGATGACCTTCAGGGGTTTGTGGAGAAACTTTAATAGTGGAAACATGAAAGGAAACTGCAACACAGAAAATGAACAGAACTATTAGTTCAACAGTACTGACATTTTTACTTTTCTACCTTTTGCATTTGTTTTTTATGTTCGTTTTAAATATGGACATTTAAGAGTCAGCCCAGTTACAAATAGGAGGGTAAAAATCAAATGAATATGAAATTAAAAAGTTTGCAACAATTTTGTATGATGTTCCAAGGCGTTTTTGGAGAACGCTCTCCTGGATTACTGACAGTTTGACATTCCAAAAACTTTTCATATGTAATCATACATTTAATGCTGGCGAGAAAACTAAAATTAAACCTCACAAAGAAAAATTTAAATCACATATTCGATGACATTGAACTTGATGGAGAAAAGCTACATATAGTAGCACCGCAGTTGGCCTGAACGAATCAAAATTTTCTGGCGGGTCTCAAGCAGATGTCTCTCCAGGATCTTGAAGTAGTACATACCTAGTTATTGAAGCCTAGCTAAACAAATCCGTTACGTAGTTCGGTTTCAGATATGACAGATATCCTGTTGCATTTAATTTTTTTCAAACTTCCGTGCGATCTATCAAAATGTGTTCTTATTGTGCCAACGAAGTTTACTGTTCTAAATGTTTATTGCAACATTGTCAAATTTGCGAAAAGTCCTCTAATAGTTGTAATATGATCCTTTATTTAGGTATTTGCGCTTATAGACAATGAACAGGAAGACACCTTACTTTAAAATTCTGGATATTTTTCGATTATGACTCGCCAGCAAATTTTAATTTTTCCGGGTCAACTGTGACAGAGGAACAAAAACTGTTGGCTGACTTACCACAGGTACGTAAAAGAGTAGATTGCCGAGTTCTCCGTACAAGACACTAATTGCTACGGGCAAAAACGGGAAAAAGTGCGACAACGGAAGAACTGAGGTTATTGCTCTTTTCAGTGACATCTTAGTGTCGGATGAGTCCCCTAACAAACCGGAAAAATTAAAGGAAATGAAAATAATTCGAATCAATTTGCGGTGAAACGTATTTTTAAAGAGTCCATTTTAAACAACGACCTTAAATGAATTCATCTACTCAAACAGTCCATTCTTCAGGAGTTAACTCGAAATTAGATTATAAAATGTTTTGAACACAATGTTTTAAAAAGAATGCTAAATTAAAAGGTACATATTAAATTTGTTATATTAAAGGCACCTTATTATTAACATTTAAAAGAAGCTAAACGTTTAAAAGTTTAAAAAATCTTTAAATTTTATGACGCCAAAGAAAATGCACTAACACCGCCTTATTTTCAACAACTTGTATTATCTGATCTTTATTAAATTGTTACTTAGTCACTAGCTTCACGAGTGACAAAAAAAAAAGAAAAGAAAAACCACCTCCTCAATGCAAAAGCTGAGTGAATGCAAATTCCTGTATCAATCCTCAGTTAACCAACGCTCAGGTCGTCATTAATTTTCCGATAACTACTTTTTTAAGATCTCACAACAAGGCATAATTCATTTTCTGAGAAGTTGCATACCAATCATGGAAAATTTCAACACCAAGTCGAAATCACCCGGTGAACAATCAAATTTAATGTGACATTATGATGTAATCAAATTGAGTCTCAACATGCCGTGGACGAGCTTGTCATGAATTTATGCATGCAAGTTTTACGAGGGACACGATGATACCACAATTACAAGTGTTCTCTAAAATTAGTTCCTAATTCTAGGCCAAAATCTCGGTTACAAGTTAGAATCGATAAGTTAGGTAGGCGATTCTAAATTCAAATTATTAAACTCACAGTTGCACGCCGCGCCCTTTTCGGTCACATGAGAATCGCATTTTGATGGTTTAAGCTTGTAGAGTAGCAAAAAGTAAGAAAATCGCGTAGTTTTTATCTCCAATATTGACGAAGATTTCGTCTCTCGGAAAACTTGGTGCATAACGTAAACCACCACGGTACCATTTTTCTTCACCTTGAATTCATCAATCAACGATGCACTCTTTAGCATTGGTTACTTTACTTAAACTATGGATGAAACAAAGATATCAGAAACTAAGGCATATAAATCGCCAAGGTTGATGACGTCATACGTCTAGTTTTTCAAGGGCGATATTTTCGTCAATATTAAATGTGATATTTGACGGATATTGAAAGACAATATTTAAAGAAATTATTTTAGCTTTTGGTCGAAAAATTCACACCGTAACCTCCTGGTAATTACCCTAGGAACAATGAAAAAGAAAATATTTTTATTTACTTGGATGGATTTATTCGTCACACTGGCACTATCAATTTCCATAGAATAATTGCCGTTGTTTTTAAAGTGCCAAACAATTTAGGAATGATCCATTTGTTGAAAATTATAGGCCCAAAACCAGGTAATATCGCGCCAAAAGCCAGCTTAAACTGAAACACAAAGAAAGAAACAAAAATGAAGACTGAGTTACAACTTTACTAAAAATTATAAAACTTGCTGATGGTGTCACATGATGTCAACAATCTATCGTTTAAAAGTTGTCTGGGGCATTTTTAATGGACTCTTCATTTAGAGTTTCCTTAAGGAGGCGTCACAAAATTTGAGATGAGACTTTACTGGTCACAAAACTATTTTTCCATAGATTTTATCCATGCAAGAGGATGAAAATCCCATTATTTTGAAACGTATTTCATCGTTTTCTTTCAAAAGTGAATTCTTGTTTTCCCCTTTCATCTTTATTATGTATCTCGTATTATAGACGATCTTACCACTCCCAACTCCCAAACCACGTTTCTCAGTGTGCAACGTCGCAGACTTTCTGTCATACTTCATTTTTTAATTAAGAGCCACTCAACATCAATTCTTCAAAACTTCTATGATTTTTCGTATCCGTGTAAAGGTAATTCTAGAAAAGTTAAAATGAATTATGTTGATTTGTTCTCTATTAAAAAAGTAAAACAGGAGCTGAGATTTTTCAACATGCAAACGAGATAGTGGTTTGGGAACCACCTCCATGTATATCAAGAGGGAACGAAACGGTATAGGAGAAAAGCTTACCAGAGTACCCATTTTCTTTGGCTTGAGTGTGAAAGGTAAAAATACCAGTGGTGCATTCCTGATGACTCCCATTTTTATAATGATAATTTCAGGCCTAGAATAGTAAAAACATGGGTATGATTTTATTTTTTAAAAAAAATGAAAATCACTGATAAATTTAGTTAGAAATTTTCATAAATGATAACACTAGTGACCACACAAACATGTCTGAGAATGTGTTCTCTTAAAAAATTAAAGCATGTTATTTGAAAAGACATTTTCGAAATGTGGCGAGAAAAATACAACTTTTCGGTTAAAACATCGATGGGCAACAAAACAACATATTAATGGAATTGCGTTTTTTGGGAGTTAATTTTCAAGGCCTCAATCCCCGTCTTATTCTTGACTTCTCTTCCAAGTTAAATTAAATTCACATTCTATCATCTCTTTCAGTAAAAAAAACACATTATGAGGTTTTCAGAGGAAGAAACTTCACAAGGACAATAAAGTATCACGATTATGCAAACTTTCTCGTAAAATTATTTCACAAATATTTTAGAAGTACCTACTTGGGAAATGCGTTTTCCCGATGTCACAAAGCGGGAACTCGAACTCAGCACTAAAGATGTCACAACTCCGTCAATAAAATATCGAAAGTGGTGCTTAATTTGAGGAGGCACGAGTGTTGTGACGTGGGGTAATAAAAAACCAAACATGAACTTTGTCGGTAGTTTTATTGATGAGAGCGAACATTCAATCCTTCGTGCGAGTGTACCTAGATTATTCCAAAAGTGAAATCGGGACTGTCTTTACCAACAGAAGTAATTTTCATAATTAATTTAATACGTTTTAATTTTTTTTTTTTTAAAAAATAACTTATAGTTTTTCAGTCACTGTGTTCAATTTTCTAAGTGCTCCTATTGCTGAAAGTTCTCTTTAACTGCTCTTTAAGGTAATGTTTCAAAAATTAAACAATAATAATAAAACCAAATATAAAAACGACAGTAAAAAAGGTAATGATATATGATAATAATGATAATACTAGGGGTCTGTGGCCGTAACGCGGCCGCCAATCACTGAAAAAAAGCTACACTTAATAAAAAGCAGAACAACCATGTTCAAGTTATTTCAGAGATGACTGAATTCAAAAGCCGACAGGTGGACGCAAAAGAAAGCTTATTTATGTCTGATTGCAACGTTATGCGCCACTTTTTGTGTTTTATTTTTGATCACCGATTTTAAAAAGCTACACACGGTTTTTTCTGAAGAGTTTCCGTGCAGCGTCCTAAATGATCTCAAATATAAGCATCGAAAAATCGACGCGATATTTTCGTTCGCTCTGTTTTATTTTTATTAAACCAAAATTAATTTTACGCGAATCAAGTTTCAGAATCCCTGCATCGTTTAAACATCGTCCGACTTTCTGAATCGTTGCAGTTAAGATAGTATTTACCCTTTAACTGTAGTAAAAACCGAGCAGGGGCCGTCAAAAGAAAGACGCGTTTTTCTAGTTTAACGGAGATTTCAGCGTTGCGCAAGCCAGGAGAGTAGGAGAGGGAGCACGGTCGAGTATCGAGTCACCTTCATAGTGTAATGCTCCCTTAATCCAGCTAGCGGCAATGTGCCCATACCGGTCCCAATTATCGCAAATAACTCTTGCATTGCGTTTAGTGTTAATGCGAGAAGTATTCATGCAGTCTTGTAGGCGCTAATATGTGTTCGACGCCGACCGTACTCTTTGGCGCAATGCGTGAAGTATTCCAACAGTCTTGCAGGCGCTGTTATGAGTTTGACGTCGACTGCACCGTGTTTGGCGCGATTATTCGAGATCGCGTTAGGATAATCGCGGCATCGAACAATGGGGCTTAAAAGGCCCATGTTTTGTTTCGACACGGTATGAGCATTCCAACGTTGCCTCGTTTCTCCCGATGAAATATTTTTTTCTGAAAAAAGCTAGGAAAGTTTTCTATGTTCGCTTTTTTATATTGAATGTTTTAGATGAATTTTTTCTATGGTAGGTGCTCAGACAATCTTTTTTAAGGAGTTGTTTTTTCTTTACGTTTTTCAGGGCAATAAGCCGTCATGATTGGGAGAGTCCTCTGGATAATCCCAGTATTCCTAAGTTTACTTATCCTGGTGCTTGGAATTCCTCTCTATGCCTTGGTAACTCGAATATCCATATTCACTTCCACATATTATAGTATGGCCTTAGTGTCATTCTCTTATTCTTTTACGTTTCAATTTTAAGTCTTTTAATGCAATGCAATTGTAAACGGTTTCGATTTTTTGTGGATGTTCTCCATCCTATGGATTTTTTCTCCGCGTCAGAAACCCTAAATAGAGGGAGAATCGGCGTGATATTTGTGCCTATTTCTGCCAAACGGAACTATGTCCATTACGACGTGAGCCCTGATATGAATAGGTCCATGCCCAATCGATAAATCATGCTGCAGAATTGAATTTTTTTGTTTTTAAAAATCGACCTTGATCATTATTTAAGAAGAGTCCATAAGTCAAAATTTGAGTACATCGATCTATCGAATGACGTGTTCACTAAATCAGTCTATTGCCGCACCGTTTCTACTTTCAGCCGGGGCAACTTTACGTTGCGTCATCAATATGTGAATCAAAACATGGTATAAAAGTTCAAAATGTGGGCGAGGGGGATGATTCAATGAGCGTATTTCTGTCAAACGGAACTATGTGCATTAAAACACGAGCCTTGAAACCCATGAGAATATATGAATAACAGGGCTCACGACGTACTGCCCATAGTTCCGTTTGACAGAAATGCGTCCAAATAATGTGGTGTATTATAATGTTTTGCCAGAATTTGTTTATTTATAGATTTATATTCCTTGTGTGTATTAGGGGTGCGCAGTACCTGAGGAGGTTGAGCGATTAGGAGGCGCACTCCTTAGTCCTTTTTAAAAAATTGGTGTAACTAAGGTTGAGGGTGCCATTTTTTTCTATTCACTTAAACAAAAAGAGCGATTGAAATGTATGATTTTCTAGTGGTGAATGTTGAAGAAAACCGCAGCATAGATTAAAAAAATGCTCATTCATGAAAATGAGGAGAATAGAAATTTGCCCTTTTCTCATGATATTCAAATATATATGAGACGTTAAGTAAGCCATCGTGCTAGAAATTTGATGATTATATCCGAGTTTTTTCGTTTGTTCCAGGCGGCACTCTTAGGTGGTCCTTTGTATTTTAAATATCCGTTTGGGGGAATACTAGCTCTGGCGAAAGGTTTCGTAAACCTGTGGATTCATGCTAAGTTATTGTTTAAAAAATAACCAAATCGAACAATAAACGAGTCGGGTATTCTATACATGCTCTATTTTATATTCTAAAAAATAGCTTTATATTTATAAGTAATACTTTTTATACGAGAAAGTAGAATTTAAATAGGTTAGTTTTAGGAAAACCGCACTAAATCTTATGGAACCTGCAGGAGGATAAGTGTAAATAATTTATATTTGAATAAGTAAGAATAAGTTTGAATTACCATGTATGAATGTGGAGGAGCATGTCATTTTTAAAATGGGTCTTTTGCATGCCATCGGATGTATCTTTTAATTGTAGGCTAAAGCTCTCTATTATCGTTGTTTTCAAGTTATCACAGCAATTGTTCATGTTTGAAATCCGAAATTTGGCATGTATTTTATATAAAAGGCACAAAAATTACATTCTAATTTTTCTAACCTTTCGTTTAAGTCTCCGGAAAAATGCTAATGTATATCGCCTGTTCATGTGTGCTTTTGGTCGAGTAATCCAAAAAACTTTTGGTATTTTATGAACGGCTCCTTGTAACAAAAAACGACTTATCTAACTTTTCTAGCCCTGCGTTAAAGTCTCCAGAAAAATTCCAACAATTTTTAGCCTTTTTCTTCTGTGGTGAATCGTATTTCTCGCTCTTAAATAATTTCATCTTGGCTCACCTTTTAATTTTGCAGTATTAAGCGTTTGAGGAAGTAAATGAGGTGGTATTTAAACTGTTTACTATAAACATTGTTTACTTTTCTATAGTCAATAAAGTCATGAAAAACATCAGCTGAAACATAATATTATTTCAAAATTTTCCATTCAAGTGACGATTGGAGGTTGTTGCATAATCTCGGGTCATGTTAGGGTCGGTGCCGTGACAAAATTCGACACTCCGATTTGATTGTCACCCCTGTATAGCCGGAAAAATCCCTGCAATCGACATACACTCATTTTAAAAGCTTGATCACAAATACATTCTAAGTTACTGCTTTTTCAGATGACATAATGAAAACAATATTATGAATATATGAGGGTAAAATAAAAATATCCTCCTTCTTCTCCAAATAATTTTAGTTCTGATGAAAAAAGTATTGTACGAAAGGCATATTTTGACTATGTCCGTTTAAAAAAAATAGTCGGTAAATGTAACAATATGCGCCCATTTTTGAGTTCAGCGCCAAAAACACCGAAGGCTTGCAACTTTTGAACTTTTATGAGAAAAATTGAATCCTCTTTTTTGCACGCTAAATAAACCGATATGATTTGCATTCGGTAAATTATTATCGAATTTTGTCACTCGACTGATGAGATAATTACCCTAAAAACCGGAAACAAATCATAGGCGATTGATATAGATAACAAAACAAAAGTCAGGGAAATTTTCAGTTTGAAATACCCAAAATTTTCCCGGTCGAAATGCAAAATGTGGGTGAAATTTGGCAGCATTGAAATGTAGTTACGTTCTTTCGTGAGGGAAACGACGAGTTCTTGACACGCTGTTTTCAAACGATCAAGAGATTTTTGGTAGACGGGCTTGGACTTGGACTAAAATGTATGATAAATTTTTACTCACTTCTTCACCCCACCACGAACCCCAGAAGTTTTTACCAATCCAATATGGCACCGGGTGAATTTTTTTTCCTTTCAACTTGGCTGCAAAAAATAAAAATAAGACAAGCACAGCTTTATAAATTATATTATCATTGTGTCCGTGACGCGCAAATTGGTACTTGCGCGTCATGGACGGTCTTGTTAAACTACGACTTATGAAAGCCAAGAAGGGAACAAATTAGAGTATTTAATCCATTCCCTGAAGTTAAAAGTAAGTATTAATGCACACCACCGGTATACGTTTCGATGGAATAGAATGTACGTCATCTTGCTTTTCCCGAGTCAACATCCAAATAAATATTTCTGTATGTAAGTGTATGTCTGAAACTAATTAGGTTTGAAATGTGCCAAAAAAATTTTCTGAATTATTCTGTACAGATTTCTACGTCGGCCTCACAATACGGTATAGTATTCTCGGATCTAGGGACCGTATCATGGGTTCTTGTAATCAGCTCGAAGTCAGTTGTATGAATCGAGGTTATACGGCTCCTTGAACCAAATATGCACACAGTTACGTGAACCAAATGGTACGGCCGGTATAGAACACCGTAATTTGATGGCCAAAGTGCGAAATCACTTATCTGTGCTTCCGACGTTGCAGACTTCCTGATATAGTTGATTTTTTAGTTATTTTTGGAGAATATTCTGAAAAATATTCAAGCTATATAATTGACCTGTTTCTCCTCGGAAAAATGAATTAGGAGCAGCGATTTTGAAGCACAGCAATGGAGGTATGTGGTTTTGCACTTTTGCCGTCGAAATGCAATTCAAACGACCGAAACAAACGTATCACCATCTCATGACTATATTCCTCCCCCCCCCTCTGTTACCTATGACGAAAGTACAGGGGATCGTTGAATGTCACTGTCATTTATGGCCACAGTTCTGCAATGCCTTAATCACTACACTATTGAGGCTAATATCTTATTGACATTTTTTCTCGCAGTTGTTATTACATTGTGTAAAATGTTTCTAAATCTTACTGAGCAGTCCGTAACCGTATAAATTCACAACGTAGTTTTGCACTCTTGGATCGCAAATCTCATGATAGCAACGAATTATGCCTTTTTTATAGAACTGAAACAGACGCAAATAATGTGATTCTCATTAATATATGTATGTGTGTGCCCTGCATGTTACAATCAATTTTGTTGTTCATGAATTGTCGAGGACGTAGATCGATCTCAAGCATCGATGTATACCGCTCGATTTTGAGGTTTCGGAGGCAATTAGTTTCTTTACAATTTTGGAACGAATAGTGTCTAATGAAATATCTATAATAAAATAAATAATTCAATAAAATCAATTTTTGCATCTTTAAGGAATTAATTTGTGCTGCCAAAATTACTGCAATAGCAATTTAATACCAGGAGTGTTTTGAAATTCACCATGTCACTGAGCAGAGGCAAACTTTTTCAATTTGACTGCATTTTAAAATTAGGAACCACAATTTCTGGCTTAGTGTAGAATCAACGTATGTTCCATCAGTTTCTTTAAAAAAATATGTGTTTTACCGATGAGCTAGAAGTTATAGTTCCTAACTGCTAAATTAATCAAGGCTCAGTTAATCAAGGACATTTACTGATATCCTGAGGTTCTTGCAATAAGGATCTGTATATGGTCGCAGACAATTAATTAGCAACTCATTACATGCAACTAATTCATATTACAGTAAATTTTCACGTCAATAGCATGGTCGATAGTAAAGGCAACTTGCCTACTTGCGGAAGAGATAAATTTAAACACGCTTTTGGACCTCATGGTAAGATATTTGTTTTTTACTGTCATTTTTGACAAAAAATCACGTTCAACTGAGTTTCATAAATGAGCCAATCCGATAAATCATACAGAATATTGGCATTAAGCCTTTTTTTCTTTTTTAAATTTTATTCTGCGGTGGCAGGCGCTTTCCACAGAGGCCCCACAACGCATGGCACTGATACTAACTTAAACTCCAACACAGATTCTGATTATTTAAAAATTCGAACGTGCAGGACAAAAAGAAAAAAACAATGATGTCAAAAGCAGTGGTACAAACTATACAGGTGGAAAAATTGTAAAATATCTCAAAATAGCCCTTGATAATGTACTTGCAATGGTCCAATGTTGATGCGCGCGATCACTGGACCATAGCTGTAGATATAATTCCGCATTTTCTCCTCGTCAGGCATAATGTACTTGAAGCCCTTTTGAATTTCAACGTCGGCCATTGACGGATTGTAGTGACATTTCTCTTGGTAACCCATGTATGGGTAATTGTTCTCTTCCGTTAAACCTGCTCTATACACGTACTGATAAGCATTTATGACGCTCCCACCACGACAACCCATTGATTTTCGATCACAGTCTATAATTTCTGTAAGTGGAAAAAAATAATAAAAATTTAATACATAAGTTTTTCTCTGAATGTCTATATTTGTTTGTATATTTATGATTATATCTTAAGCTGTGCTGCATTTCGCTTTGATCCGATACCATCCGCAGTCTCCGGAAATGAATCAGTACTTTCAAAAAGGGCCGGCAGAAATCTATTTTTAATTTTTTTTTTTTTTTTTTTTTTTTTTTTTTTTTTTTTTACATTTTCAAAGTCTCTGATTTTCCTTACCATATTACCCAAGCAAACAGCGGTAGACCACCTCATGGAACGTGAGTGACCGACACACAGAGACGCGAATGTCACGTAAAAAGAGCATAAAAAATGCACAAGAACCAAATTAGAAAAATCGGACTTCCGCTCTTTTTAAGGGTATTGATAACGAGGTCCTATCCTTACACAATGCTGGTGTATAAAAAAAAGTTATTTAATGAAAAATGGTGTTATTATTTCCCTTTGAGAGTCGGTTCCCGGCAAAATTCAGGTTAAAGATACAAAATTTTGATTTTGCACGGTGTCTCTCTCTTCAATGCGAGTCGTGTGATAATAAGGTGGTGCTCTCTATGCTAAGAGAGGGGAAATTTATCCGCGCCCCAAAGTTCGTCCAAAACTCGCTCGGGAGCGTTGGGTGTCGCAGTCGCTACATGCCAGTGAGATCCTTCACTCATAAACACACATACCATGATAGAGTTGGTTTAGCGACTGTAAAAGTCAACTTAATTTTTTCTCCATCCTTGAAAAAACTACTATGAGATGGGCATTCAAGCAAAACCACCCCTAACAAAAGTTAATGTACATTTTGTTCAAGTCTTGCCTCATTATCACACCGTAATAAAATGATTAAAATACTAACGTTGATCGGAAAAGTTTTTTTGCTGGCCGGTCCTAATAGCGTGTAACGTTTCAATATTCTCAACCACGGTGTAAGCCCAAGCAGCGGGACAACTCCTCTGGAAAAAAGAACAGTTCTGGAAATGGTATACAGTACATTATCACTAAAAAGCACCATGGTTTTCAAGACCCACACAACGCCCTTGAAGTGTCATCACCTTTAGTTTACCTTCGTAATCGCACCATAATGCAACCGCATGCCGAACAAAATAAGACGTTATGATGAATTCAGAAAAACAATAAAAACTAAGTACCTTTCGATTTTTGAAACGGTTCGAGACATCATGTGGCTTGTTTTCATTCGAAGTTTGCGACTCTTTCTTGATGAAATCACGTTGTTTATCGTTTATCGTTGCTTGACTGATATAAGGGCGTAACTATACACATTTAGATGAGCCCGGAAAAACATTGAAATGTATGGAGGATAGGGTTCATTGCAGAGTGTAGTTACACCCTTATATCAGGTAGGCAACGTTTATGCGTCTTCACCCACGATCAAGATCGAAATACAAAATTGATCTGAAATCAACAGTTCAATTTTTTCACCTCATTTTCCTAATATGATTTTCTGTTGATGGAATATGGCTATGCCATTTTTTGCTGTGTTAAAAAGTGGCGATGGAAACTCTTCGTTATTTTTCGAGTATACTATTTCTTTTTCTTTTTTCTTATGATTACTCGTCAGGCTGAGACTATTATTTGTAGAGTATGTTGAAACTCACATAATCTTTAGGGGCAGTCACGACACGGAATATGTAGCGCCAGTCAAAATAGTCGGGCACGTAGCCCGAGATAGGGCTAATCTCTTCATTTATGTACTCGTTTGTATCGTCAGCAGTTGAGTTGTAAGCTCCAAATATTTGAGCGAATTCTTCAACTGTAAGTATTAATGACAATAACAGAAAATGGGTGTAAAATCAAACATAAATACATTTAAAAGGTGCGCAGGATTCTTGTTTTCTTCAAAAATGTTACTCTATAGGAATTTCCAAATTGGGAGACAAACTTTGTCTGCGAAATAGGTCTTGAACTTAAACGCTATTAATTAAGTGTAAATGATCGCTCCATTGTCCATTTTTGTTGAAAATTATCTGGCATCAGTTTTTCCTAAATAGGGTTTACTCTCTGTAGTTCAATAACTCTCAAGAGGCTGTTTTAACATTTAAAGTACGAAGATCCTATTTATACAATTTTTTTGTCATCGAACCATCAGGAGCTTCAATGTTTGCATCTGAAAGTTGACTTTCAATAGGACCGCATTTTGCACTAAGGAACAAAAATTTGTGACTTAGTTTAGAAACAGCGTATTTAACATTATTTGCCCTTTGCATATAAGTGTCTTTATGAAAAAGCCAGAAATTACAGTTCCTAATTGCAAAACGTAGTCCAATTATTCCTGATGGAGAATAATATTGCGAGAGATTAAGGAGCCCGATCGGTCACAGAATGTGACGTATCAACCGGCAGAGGTTCCACCTAAAAATGACCATTTTGAAATTTTGAAATTTGGAGCATTTTTCTGGAGCATTGGTGGTCAAAAACCGCGAGAAAATTCATGTGCCATCGGGAGATGAGCTTAACTTTCTCTATCTATGCGATAAATAACAGTCTGTACAAATTACCCGTTGAACTACTTACCAGTTCTATCGGAGTACTGCGACAAACCGTAAATTGCAGTCCCTGTCTCTCTCCTGTTAAGTGAGGCGATGACTTGAAGATTGTTCACAAATACTCCCATGCGTTGAAACAGTTCTTTAGGCTCGTAACTTTTATTGTAGAAAATCCGGAACATCTCGAACCGTTCCCATAAAGCACCGCCCGGTCTCAGCGGTTGATTCAATAGTTTATGGATCCAATACTCGATGAAACCCATTCGTAAATCATCCTTGTTCCACAGCATTGAAATCACATCCCCAGTTTTATTCTGCCTCGTCGTCTTATTGTGGAACCACAGCCGTCCACGCAAGTCCAAACCTATTCCGACGTAGCTGATATTGCTGAGAAAGTCAAATATTCGATGTCGCAAACGGATCCGTGACGTCACAAAATTATCGAGTTTTTGAGCGAGGAAATCCTTAGGCTTGAGATCCTTTATAGCGGATACGGTGAAATTTATTAACTGCCAGCTCATGATCCATTTCCTTGACTGCTTAACGAAGCGGTGTTTGTAACCCCGATAGAAATCCACGAGCTCTTTTGTAAAGAACCAGTCATAAAGTTTTAAAAGTCGAGTATACAGCAGGTACAAGTAATATGTTATTGAAAATGGACCTATTGGTATGGTGAGGAAAAGTCCTAGTGGGTTAGCGGGCATACATAGGTATGTGTCATCTGACGTACTGTCTTCTTCCTTGTCCTCGTATTCGTGAGGAAATTTGGCAATAAGCTCAGATTGAAATTGCACCCTTTCCTGCTTAATATTTCCAGCCCTTTGATTGGGATACGTAGCAAGGGGCATCGTGGAATCGGTCAGGATCGAGATCTAGAAGTCCAAGATGTAATACAGAGAGATACTTACATAGTTATTCGTTGAACATTTATTTTTTTAAAACAAAAAAGAAAACTAAAAAAGATTGAAATTGGAACAATGCATTATTACAGGGAGAGTACATTATCTAAGAGTAGATAGTCTACTTTACCACTGAAAGATGGTATCTCTATATAAAAAAAACAACGCCACTGCTGGCAAAGTGAATGTAGTCCAACCCAGCAACTAAGCAGTCGCAACTCTTAGATAGGAGCTGCTGTGATACGTAGCTAGCGCATCTTGAGTTGCAAGATTGGTATTGCTTCCTTAAATGTATTGCCTGGTGTTCAACTTTGGATCAAAACGTCAGAATATTGCTAAAATAATTTTAAAATGTATCAATAAGATAAAACTTTTGCCCATGCCATTGACAGTATCGAAACATTTTAGAATAGTTTTTAAAACATTTCCGACAAATATGTATTGGAGACGTTCCAGTGCCACCTTCAGGAAACGCGTTAAAATTGGCGAGTAATGTTTCATCTGTCCTCATGGAGTTCGAAAGAAAAACTCGATTAGGAAACCTTTCAAATACGCGTCTGATACATACCACCCTGTACATGTTACCACTTTTTTTACCCATTTTTCTTACACCTGCTCTCTAAAATGTATCTACTCGTGCCCCCAGTTTCCTCAGTATCAGATTCAAATTTTCTGACACATACGGACAAACACTAATGTTAATTGGCTTAAGACTCAACACCCCGAATTTCTTTTGTTTTTATCAATGGGGTGTGTGGATGTGTGACGAATGGTTGTCTTTTTTTGTTCAAAATTCTAAGCGATTTGTCAGACTTGTTCTTTGAAATTTTCACACTTGAACGTCTTAAGTATTTTTCTAAAAGAAAATAAGGAAGAAGAAATCGAAACTTGGGAAGAGTTTTGAAAGTAGGTTAAAGGAAATCCTACAAATTATGCTCAAATACCTCAATTTTCTGCGATTTAGAAGATTGGCAAGGTTTGGCACGTGTGAACAATCAATACATTTTTCAAGAAATGAACTAAGTCGTGATAAAAATTAGTAATTGTTTACCTCATCGGTGCAATAAGTAATGTTTGAATTATGATGTGAGAAAAACGAGTAAAACGTCCGCGGTTAGTAATACGGCAAACAACGAGAAAATTTTATTATAGCGCCTACACACTATTCGGATACAACTATTCGGGCTCCACGGATGTCCGTGTTGCATATGCACCGAAGTGAAGGCGTTTTGACTAGCCCTACACTCCCCGCAAATCGCGATGCAGACAGGGCCCAAACTGGCGTGCTTTGCGATATATCGATTGATCCGCCATTTAAACTAATGAAAAAGGATCGATTGACAAGGTGTTCGCAACGAACGCCTTAATAATCGATTCCTCACCATAGCTTCAAATGGGGAATTGTCGATAATCGAGCATTCACGCTTCACCGCTGGCCCAAAGTAAGTGGGAAAATAACTTTGCATTATTGGTTGATTTAATCTCATCAAATCGGAACCCCAGTAGACCGACTTTATAAGAAACTAATCAAAAATATTCAAAAGAAGTCATCCTAAAACTCCGCGCATAAAATTCCAGGTGAAGTATTAACAGAAATCGTTTGCATGGTTCTGCTTAGATTTTTCTTCATTTTGGTATGTACTTACAAACATGCTCACTAAACTTTTGTCATTTCCCCGGGCCTTTTCAGTTGCTCGTGACAGTAAATAAAAAGAATTCTGAAGAAAATCACTACTTTCAAAGTTTTAAGGTATAAAATGCCAACAAAGACTCATTAGGATAGTCCGGGAATATAGGCCCTCATGTAAGTGTGAAAGCGTGTCAAAAAACAACGCCCTCGTAATTTAAATGCGCATGCAGTAATTTTTCCAAATCAATATTTACTTTACCTTTGAACTCCTTTTTCCTACGTGCCTCTCCCTTTATTTATACCCTTCAAAATGTTACTCTTTTTCTGCTCACCAACTATTCATCACATTATGACTAATCGGAATTTTCTGATTTCCTTGTGAATCAGTTCTTTTTTACGATATAATCATGAAATTGGAAAGAGAGTCTAGTCAAGCTGATATATTTGTCAAATTTTGGTGTGATATTTACATGTTTTCTGCATTAAGAGCTTACTCCCTGAAAAAATTGTTCTTACAGCATTTTAAAAATTGCAAATTTTGTGATGTCAAATTCCGTCAGGTAAGGTCAAAATACGTTAGGTAAGGGCCGGTGCGGTAACGAAGTTTGACACTCCGATTTGGTTTTCACCTCTGTACAGCCGGAAAAATCCCTGTAATAGAGAGAAATTAAAAATGAATTAACTAGCCAGTAAATGAAACAATAATATGGGTAGGACGTATACTCCATAAGTGTCTTAATTTTTCTTGACACTGAAAAGGCATTCCTATTCTCTTGGCCGAAGACTGAGGAGAGCTCAAAAGGGAAAATACGAAGAATACATGTTGGCGAAAATTCTAATCTCTATAGATTGAGAGAAACAGAATAATAGGTCATATATAACCCACTGTTTGCGAGAAATTACCAAGAAATAATTGCCAAGTGCTATTTAAAAAAATTGTGAAAGAAACTATTTTGACTTTTCAGTTCAAATAATTATGTATAACTCACCTTCTCACCCCACTCAGAACTCCAATAATTTTTTCCAGTCCAATAAGGCATAGGGTCAGAATTATTTCTTTTCATTGCTTGTGCGGCTGTAAGAAAGAAAAACCCTTAAAAATACTTTATTTGGAACATTATCATTGCGGAATAATCCCTGAATTACCCACGTCAATATAATATTTTTCGCACTTATTTTTCAACCTCATACGGTAGAATCTATACGAAAATTGATCAAATGAATCCATTTTCAAACTAATTATGTTATATTTCTACTTTTCAAGAATGACCTTCACAGATTTTGCGAGTTTGCTGAAAAGAGCCATGTGTCAATGAATTCAGTAGAATAGAACTATCTACATAAGATTTGCGCGCTTCATTGTTCCTTTTGATGTCCTTCCTTTGCAAACATATTTTTCAGCGTAAATACGCCCAATCACCCTCATTGATAACTGAATGAATGAATTCTTTATTATCAAAACAATTTTACAATTGAACATGATAGGTCAGATAATGAAACTTAACAACAACTACCGGTGATTTAAACCAGTGTCAGTCTGTTTTTGAAGATTACAGAATTTTGAATTTAACTGCTGTACACGTTTAGACCTGCTCGGAAAATTTGAGCCGACATGATACCTATCTTGAGGAGCCAAAACCGATGCAACGAGATCACCTCCAATTGGCAGATCAGTTACACACATCAATAGGGAAAAAAGACTCCCTCTGTTGCAGAGCGCCATCGGTGGCGTGGCGTGCTTTGCGATATATCGATTGATCGGCCATTTAAACCTATATAAAAGTATCGATAAACAGGGTGTTCGCAGCGAACACCTAAATGATCGATTATTTACCACAGCTTCAAATGGGGAGATATCGATAGATCGCAGAGCACGCCACGCCACTGAGCGCCATAAAGGCGTGTGCGGGGGAAAAAGTCGGAGCAGAAAGAATCACCCGCGATGTTGACTTTTGTCCGGGAGGACAATTTTAGCAGAGTGGGGCAGGAATTTATAACTGTTAAAAATAATCCAATTAAAATACGCATTTTGAGGTAAAAATAAGTCCAAAACCTAAGAGAGATACTTAGTAAAACCGATTGCTCAGCAAAGTGGGAAAAGAAAAATCTTACTGACGGTCCCGTAACCAATTAAATTCACTACATAGTTTTGCACGTTTGGGTTGCACACTTCGTGATTGCAACGGATTATGCCTTTTTTGTAGAACTGAAACAAAAAATAAAAGCAAAAGGTTTTTACACGGACAAAACATTGAATAATGATGCTTCATATACATATTTACGAACATTGTTTAAATGTTATGTATTTCCTCACATCGCCTCTCTTTAAATCGTTGCAATCATGATCTCTCAATTCACGTAAAGTTCATCAAACGCATTTTAAGAGGGAGGTTTACTACCTAAAGAAAACTGTCTTGGTTTAAACGCTGTCAAAAAGTGTGGCTTTTGCAAATCAAACGGAAAAGTCTTAGAATTGTTTACTCGCCAACCCCCCATACCATGAAGGAGCCCTTTCAGATAATGCAAAACCACATTTGAATTTTAAAAACGCTTACGCATACAGGGCCGGATTTACCTACTTGCCGCCCATGGGCCGCCTCTATTTTGCCGCCCCCTTCTCATTCGTTTTGAAACATCAAGAAAAACCATTAAGTGAACGTGCCGAAGGGAGAGAGGGAGGGGTGCATAAGACGCGTAAACTCGTGTTGGACACCTTTTTTGCGAAAGCCCTGTCAACACTCCTAGCAAAAGTTCACGGAGCCTGGCGCAAAAGTTAATTTCCGTAAACCTATCCCTGTGTGGACAAGGCCTTCCATTTATATGAAATGAACGAACAAATTATGAAAGAACAAACATAAATGTGGTTTAATAATTTTAGCTTGACGCGCTCAATAACGCGCTGACCGCACTATGTTTGGCGCAATGCGTGAAGTATTCCCATAGTCTTGTATGCGCTATGCGTTTTACGCTGACCGCTGCTGCACGCACTGTATTTGACGCAATGCGTGAAGTATTCATGCAGTCTTGCAGGCGCTATGCGTTTCACGACGCCCGCTGCTAACCGCAGCGATCGCAGTGTCTTTGACGCAATGCGTGAAGTATTCATGCAGTCTTGCAGGCGCTAATATGTGTTACATGCCGACCGCCGCGCCGCGCCGAGAGTTTCTCCTTTTCATCTCAAGTCCTCGTCATCATTGCTCTCTGCGCCGCGCCGTTTCAGGTCAAATTGAGTGTTTGGTTTCTCTCTTAACTTGATTCATTAAAGGTGCTGTCTCTTGTATCACAGAAAGACGACGAAATTGGAAATTACAATACTATCAGGAAATGAGAGATATTGTTGCCTTTCCTCGTCTGTAATTTTTTTTCTTAATCCGATTTTTTTTATACCTATAATTAAAAAAATTGCAAAATTTGCCGCCATGAGCCGCGGCCCATTCGACCACCCCCTAAATCCGACCCTGTACGCATATATGTTTTCTGGAGAATTGATGGCTAAGGAAAAGACAAATCGCAAGTTTGGGAAAACCAAAATTACTTTATGAAGAAAGCTGTTTTCAGCTTTAAAAACGAAAATAAAACGCAAAATATGACTCAGAGATGTTAAAAAACTAAATGATAAAAACCTGGAAATCGGTTTATTGGGCCCTAAACTGATTTTTCGGCTGTACAAAGAATGTGATCATTTAAACTTATGATTAGTCTATTTTGCGTAACTCAATAACATGTATTATAAAATAATGACAACTTATTACTATACTTGCAATGGGCCAATGTTGACTCGTGCTGTGACTGGGCCGTAGCTGTAAATAAAGTTGCGTATTTTTTCCTCGTCCGGTGGCACGTACAGAAAACCCCTTTGAATCTCCACAACGGACATTGATGGGTGGTAATAGCATTTTTCTTGGTAACCTCGAAACGTATAATTGTTTCTCCCCGTTAAGCCAGCTTTGTAAATGTATTGATAGGCATTGCTCACACTCCCACCTTTACAACCCTTTGATTTCCGATCACAGTCAATGACCTCTGAAATTTCAATTTCGCAATTCATGATTTTGAGCAGAGGAAAGAAATAAATAGAGAATCAAATTAAGATGATCATTCTGCCATATTAAGGGCCGCTGTAGGTACATTCGAGAGTTGCCAAATTTCCCACGATAAAACATGTATTTTAGTTGAATTTTCAAATATATTAGATTAAATTGCAAACAAAATTGCAAACAAAATTGCCCGAAAATTCCAAGAAAAATAGTCAAAATTGACCTCGTAAATTCGTATCTTACTGGAAGAAATATGGCAAATTCTGTAAGTTCATACGATGTTCTTCCTCAGCACGACAGCATTGGTGTTTCCTGTACCATCTAGTATTAAATATCTTTTATGATGCGTTGAAAATGAAAGTTACTCACTACTTTGGGGTTTTCCGAGAATTTTCGATTTCCTGAAAATCATCGACCATTGGTCAAAAAAGGATGCACTTTTTAATCAAAATAGTTTTGAATAAAGCTTGATCTTTTTGAAATTAGCAGCCGTAAATGGAGGTACAAAATCCGCTGTGCTGATTTTGAGTCCAATTAGATCCAAAACTAATCTATAATTGGTTTCTGATCGGGCGTTAGTGTTGCGTCAAACAGCATAATCACGACATCACCATTGCTAAAATCGTATGATCACCAACCCGTGTTTTTTGAAAATAGGATTAGATAGACATTAGATAGGATGGATTCAAAGTTTGTTGATTCATCTCGTTAAAAAGAAAGTAATATGCATAATAATAAGATCTTATTAAAAACGCTGTATATTGTTTGTTGCTATGTTGTTTGTATTGTGTGTTGCTATATTGTTTCTTTTTCATTCAAGCCAAGTGTTTTTTCAGTTTATATAACTGAACACTTTCAGATCATGAGAATAGAAGATGTTAAGTTTTGTACAGTTATTAACCTCTGATTTCTTCAAAAAATAAAAATAAAAAAAACTCTTGCACATTTGTTTACTTAGCAATTTCTTGGTTAACGCATGTTAAGTCGTTAACAGCTTTGTATTGTTTTTTGGAGAAAATGTGATTAAATATAAGGGACATTTGCATTTTTCTGTACTCTAAGTTCAAATAAGCATACATGAAGCATGTGCATGCAGGCTAATGAAGCAGAATACCAACGCTGATCTGAAAATTTTTTCGGCCAGCCATATTTAATAGCATACAACGTTTCAATATTGTCAACTACAGTGTAAGCCCAAGCAGCAGCACAGTCTCTCTGCAAAAACGAAATATATATTATTTCTTCTTAAATCAGGAATTTTATCAAAGAAGAATAATAAAATGGAAAGTTCATGTTCATAATAATATCTCAGAAGAAGGGAAATGTGGGGATGAGATACTCTACTCTGTACATGGATTGTGAATCACAGAGTTAATTTTACTAGTACGACCCATTTCGTGCTTTATCTTCCATTTTTGCTGATGGGGGTGGCCCTATCTTCCCAGCTTCCATTTTGAACATTGTCGATACTTGATTTTCAATCTGCGAGAAAAACGATCTTGATTCAGTTTCACAAGATTAGAGACGGGAACTTTCGGTTGATATTTTCTCGACCTTTTTTTACCGGTGGTTCGTCATTTTTTCTCGAACTCACACCTACACGAACACGGACTAAAAATTAAAAAAATGTAATCATATTCATTAAAAGCGGGATAAAATGCATGTGTTCGGGAAAAAATTGCAATATAATTTCAAATGAATTGCATATAAAAAGTCTGCGGATTCAATGCGAAAATAATATCCAAATTCATTATTGAATTTAGATCCCGTATCTTCATTCTTTAGACGTGCTCTAAAACAGTACATAATGTTTAGGTTGTCGCTAAGGTTGTGTGATATTTTATGAGTTCATAAGACTTACGTAATCTTTAGGATCAAATGCAACACTGTGTATGTTGCGCCAGTCGAAAGAAGTAGGGATTTTGTCCATGACGGGATCAATTTCTCGATTTAAATACGCATTCACATTGTCCGCAGAGGAATTGTAAGCGCCAAATTTTTTAGCGAACTCATCAACTGCAAAAGTTAGTGATATATTAAAACGACGAACTACAAATCTTATGGAAGACCGCTAAAAGGAAATAGCTATTACTATAAGGTAGCCGAAGATAATAATTTTTGAATACTTACTCTCTTGTTTGATCGATTTCTCGAGCACTTGTCAAACCTCCGATGGCCCGGAGATGATTGTTGTTTCCGGTAAATATCCACTTTTTTGATGTCACGAAACTCATGAGTTACGGCCTACATTATTCGCCTCACTGAGTGTCTCCCATTCCGTTGAGTTCGCCTTCAATAACCGTGACGGCAATTTGCGTGGCTTTGGAGCACGAGCAATTGCGCGCAGTGGTTTAGTCATTTTTAAAACTTCACACCGCGGTTGATCGGAATTAACTCTTCAGATGACGTCACAAAATATATGTATGATGATACGAAATTTTTCAAATGGGCTCAATTTCTACAGACTTTGAAAGAAGGTCTTTCAGGTAAAATTAGTCTTAATAAGAGACTTGGAAAATGTAGGTCTTCTCATTTTTCCTGTCAAATGCGGCATATTTCGCCCATGTACCACTATGCAAAAAAGATACGTTCAATTAACAACTGGAAGGATGGGTGAAATATTTCTCGCTGTATAAATCTACGTGTTTAATCACTCCAAGTAACTCTTATCCACCTTTCACAATCATTAAATTTGCAATTCTCGGTTTATGCATAGCATTTTTATTTATTCAAGGTATTGAATTCAATACCTCATGCCGAATTTCCGTAGTTCAGAGAACACTTACCGGTTAAATCGGAGAATTGTGAAACGCCATAGTAAGCAGTCCCTTGCTCTTTATCGTTCAATAACCGGATAAGTCTCAGGTTCTGACCGAAGACCATCATGCGCTGAAAGAATTCAATTGGATCATAGCTTTTATTGTAAAATACCCGGAACATCGAAAAATGATCCCATAAGGCACCTCTCGGCTTCAGAGGTTGGATTGTCAGTTTATGGATCCAGTATTCCACGAAGCTCATGTTCAAGTCATCTTTATTCCAAAGCATCGAAATCACACCCTTGGACCGATTCATCCGAGTCTCCTTGTCATGTTTGTACCACCGCCCGTGCAAATCCATACCTATGCCCATGTAAGTCAGGTTGCTGAAAAAATCAAATATGCGATGCCGCTTTCGCATTCTGCTGAAGAAAAAGTTCTCGACAGCCCGCGACCATACGATAAGGATAGCATCCTCGACAACGGATATACTAAAATCAATAAGCTGCCAGCTCCTAAGCCAGCTGACGCCCTGACTCACAAAACGCACCATGTATCCTAGGATGAAATCTGCAAGCTCCTGACTCAGGAGGTTGTCGTAGAGCTTTTGGATTCGGGTGTACCAAAAGTAAAGGAAGTAACATTCTGATAAAGGGCCGATGGGTAATAAGAAGAAAGGAGCGAGTTGTGGACACAGGTATACACCGTCTGAGGCATCGTCGTCTTCAACACTTTGATACACGTCGGTGCCTTTGCTCATGAATTTGCCTGTGTATTGAATTTGCGGTTGTCTCATCTTATCAGCTCTCTTTGTCACATATGCCGCAGGCGAGTTCTGGAGGTTGTTCGAAAAAATTATCTGTAAAAAAAGTAAAATTAGAGGTTCAATGGCAACTAATTCATTACGAATTTCTCATCAAAAATATGAGGTGCATAGTGCATAATCAATATTTTCTACATTATATTATACTCTATTTCTATATATATTAAATTCAATGCTCGGAGTAAAACTAGAATCAGATTGTCGATTTAAAGTTCTTCTTTTCTGGCTCCTCAAATGGAAAGCTATTAAAAGAGGATTAAGAGGAATGTCAGTGAATTGACCAATAACAAGCATTACTTACAGCAACAATTGTGGTTATATCTCTTATGCATATCACATTGCAGATATTCCCTCGTGCTCGCTAAGTTCCTTCAATCAAATCGAACCAATGTTGTACCTCGTACTCAATCGTATTCAATGTCAAACTTCTACTATTGATTGGACTCACGTTACCATTTTTAAATTCAACCAATATTTAAAAACTTTTTGTCATACAACTTTCTTTCAAGGCCCATACTGTAAGACAAGCGGTCTGTTCAAAAACTCTTTTAAGAGTGTCAAATTATGCAACACTACAAGGCATTCCTCCAAAAACGTATTTGCTTCTTACCCACTTTGTAACGAATAATTTGTCCCAAAACTTTCTGTCCATGGCCCACCGTAGTGAGGTGAGCATGCGGTGTGGCCGTGGAGTAAATCTGAAACTAAACTTGCGTATGATTTCAATTCATACCGGTGGACCGTGGTTCTCAAGATTTTCTGAAGATAAACCTCGATGAGAATTTTAATTAAATTATCTCACTCAAATGAAGANTTTTTTTTTTTTTTTTTTTTTTTTTTTTTTTTTTTTTTAACTAAGAGATAAGGCCGGGTTCAAACCTTTAAAATTTCGATATTTTTTCTAAGAGGGCAGATGCATCTATGTATTAAATCCGAATCACCGAAGGATTTCATAAAGTCATAAAAACATAGGGCTGGAATCAATTTTGATCCCTTTGTTCGATTCTTTTATAATCGGGCGTAAGTGGGAATGATCGCGGTCTCATGCAACATTCATAAGCACCTATGTGCCGTAGCGATTGCTTGGGTTTGATGTTTTGTTTTTTTTTTTTTTTAGTTTTTACTGATGATTTCACCTACTTACAAAGTATTAAGAAATATTGGTTTAACTTATTAGCAATAAACACTAAAGGCTTGATGTAAACAACTCAAATTATATGGCAAAACGGTAATTTTATAGTATGATCCTCTTAAAAGGAGATTTTATTTGACCTTCAAGAGGAGGTGTTTTCAGAATCAAGAAGCCTCATCAACAATTATTGTATTTTTTTAAATACTGTAACAATGATTGTCACATTTGACTCGTTTCTTTCCGTGGAATCCAAGATAATAGAAAAATCGTTTTATGAAACTTTTATTCCGAAATACTTTCAATATCATTTACAATTTATTTCATTCTTCATATCAAACAAAAATATCACAAGTACTCATTCATTTTGTTACGATTATTTTGGTCACCACTTTCCTTTCCCTTCAGAAGAATCGACATCAACCATTGGAGCCGTAAGGAAATTTTGGATTCCCAAGGTGTTTTCTCTCTTTCCGCGGAAGACTTTGAAATATCCCTGACACACAGAAACAGAAAATAATTATTTATGGTCCAAGTTGGAGTTGTAACATAGCAATGGGTACAGTATTGTCTAAAGCAATTAAACATGAAGAAGTTAATTCACAAGGATGAAAAAAGCGAGCTAGATGTCCTTTTCGCACGCTTGCGAAGAAAGAAAATCAACTTTAGAAAATGGCCCACCCTCATTGATGTAAGCGTTAACATGTAAGCATACACCAATGGTTTATCTAGCAGCAATTCTGCCGTGCTAAGGAAGAACGCCGTATGAACCTACAGGCGTTGCCAAGTTTTCTTCGATAAAAACCGAATTTACTGAGAAAATTGTGAATATTTTTTTCCAAAATTTTCAGACAATTTTGTACGCAATATAATCTAAAATATCTGAAAATTTCAAAGAAGAATGTGCATGGTTGTCGTCAAAAATATATGTTTTATCATGGGAAATTCGGAAACTCTCGAATGTTGATGCGGCGTTCTTCCTTAGCATGGTAGAATTGCCATACCCCTCCTCAGAATCTCCAGCCTGACACAGGACTTGCCAACAAGGTTAGGCTTTTCCTGGGGATCATTAAACCTGTTATCATCCTATATTTCACTGCAGAAATTTTAAAAATGTGAGATCAAATGTTATCGAAAGAATAATAATTACAATATACCTCTTCTCCCCAAGCAGTTCCCCAGCTGTTTTTTACGAGCCAATACGGTATACCAGATGTACTGTTCGCGCCCCTGGAACCTGAGGTAAGATAAAAGACAAACAGAGAAAACGTTCAAAATATGTTGATAATTTAATGTATAAAAAGATGTTATCTCAAAACATGCAAAGGTATGATTTTATAGAGTTTCCAATGCTGTAAACCCACGGAGTCCACTTTCACTTTTTGCGCAGATTACAGCACCAAATAATTCCTTTGTGGAACAATGCCTTTCCTCTCAACAAAATCCCGGGCAAAAAGTGTCATCGTTCCCACTGGTTTTATTCAGAGGAGCATTTCTCTAATACACTAAACATAACAAGGCGTTTTATAGAATATATGTATACTTGTGCTGGATAATAATTTGTGTTTAATGCAGACAGATTTTAAAGGAATTGTGAAAATAACCGGATTATAATTACCCTCGACACCATATCCAACCACAACCACAGCGTGATTCATGTGCCTTGGATTGCAGTTCTCGTCGTTACATCGAATCACCCCTCTTTTATAAAACTGTGGAAAAAATTGTAAGCAAAGCATGGACAATCAAATTAATTCTTAGTTACCAAGAGTCTCGAGAGCAATTGCTAAACTATACAGAATGCTTTAACCTGTCTCAAAGGTGCAGTAATAATTAATATCGACGGCGTAAGTCCGCAATCACATATCTCGTTTGCGGTGTCTGAGAATCTCCGCCTTCATGTTATTCTTTTTAAGGAGAGCAAATTAAGATTATTCCTTGAAGCTTTTGTGGAATTTTCCTCGCACAGAGAAGAAAAATCACGACAGTGTTAAAGAATTGCCGTTGAGTAGTTTTCCGTTTAGAAAATAAAGTACGACAGGATGTCTGCGACGTCGCAAACTGAGTAATGTGATTGCCGACTTACACCGTCGATACGAGGTATTATCACTAATTCCTGGGAAAATGACAAGTGTACCAACGTCATCACATATTTTGTAAGGACGGTATGACAGGGGCGTACTGGGACCCTTAAAGGGGCGCGGGACAGACACTTTGAGGGCGCCGCCACAGGGGAAGGGGGGGTCTGGTGGGGAGTCCGGGGGTCCTCACCCGGAAAATTTTGAAAAACAAACCTTTTAAGCCATTCTGAAGAAAAAATAAATGAAAAATGGTTTCGCATATTCGAGTCACTTTACGTGGTTTTAAATGAGAAAAATTGTACCACAAGATCTCAGCACAGAGACAAGAGACCCTCCACTGGCCTCCTAGCGACAGGTGGAAGCTTTTACTTTCGGGGTTTCAACAATTCCTTATGGACAATTATTAGGGAGCAACAGTCATCACCCTAGTTTCGGCTGTTGACTTACCTACATGGTCGATGATGAGCTTCGGATGACGTCATGAGCCAAACAACTTTCCCAAACGTCGGCCATTTTCGGCTTGTTTGCAAAACGAAACTGCCAACACGTTGTTGAACATCAACCATGTAGGTAAGTCAACAGTAGAATGCTGAAGTCCCGAAAGTAAAAGCTTCCACCATGGCCAAGATACTAGTGGAGGGTCTCTTGTCTCTGTCTCAGCACCACCTTGGCGCACCAACCTGCCTTGTTCCCTTACGCACTTGTCCGGAAAGGGGCGCCCTGTGTCTAAATAAGAAATCATGCTCTCTTTTAACAAGAAGGTGCCCTCTCACATCTTCATTGTTGCATGATTATTATTTATTTATTTTTTCATTTTCTGGAAAGCAGTAGGGCGTCAGGGCGCCTGGGCGGGAGGGCGCATCGGGACATGTCCCGGTGGGCCAGTGCGCCCCTGCGGTATGATTTCTCTGAGTATATTATAGCCTTATGTACTTCTTGAACACTATTGTTCACTGTCTTGTAAATTATAAAGACCCTCTCAAAATGTATCTTTCAATCGTCATCACATCAATCCAAACTGATCTAATCTTCATGCCATTTCAGTCATTCCTTTTCTGCTCGTTTTGACAGTATTTAATTTTGTAGCTGGAAGAACATACTTATTTCATTGACATAATTCCGACCCCGAGTGCTTACTTGTAACTGAGCGCAATTGATGGCTGCAACAACTGGACCGTAATTGTAGATGAAGTGGCGTATAGTTTCCTCGCTGGGCGGCAAGGTGTAAAAGGTGCTTTTTATTCTGATCTTGGCCATAGATGGCTCAAAGAAGCAACTTGATTCCCTAAAAGTGTATGGGTACGAACGCTCCAATGCAAGGCCTCCGGCGTCTTTTATGTACTTGTAAGCATTCGTCACACTTCCACCCGCACAACCTCGAGAGTTCTTATCGCAATCTACTATTTCTAGAATCACAAGAACATATTATTTTGGTCACAAGCAGTGTTCAAAACTCACCTTTAAGTTTCAGGAGCCGTATGGCCCATCAATGCCGCACTGCCGTGCGTTTGGCGCAATGCGAGAAGTATTCGTGCAGTCTTGTAGGCGCTAAGATAGGCTCGCACTGTCTGACGTAATGCATGAAGTATTCCCGAAGTCTTGCAGGCGATTTATACGTTGAACGCCGACCGCACTGTGTTTGTCGCGCTTATTCGAACTCGCTTTAGAATAATCGGCGTCGAATAATATAGCTTAAAAGGCCTATGTTGTGTTTCCACGCCGCATGAGCATTCCAACGCAACGTTGCCTCGTTTCTTTCGATTAAATCTTTTTCCGAGAAAAGTTAGGAAATCTCTTTATTCCCATGACCCTTATTCAATCTTTTCACTTCATTATTTTATCATCAGAAGGTAAGGCATCGATGACTTGTCAACCTGCACTAGAGTTAACATAAAAATGCGTTTATTTTCCAACTTTTTCCCGTTTTGTTAAACTTCTACCTTAAATTAACTTGATAGTAAATTCGCGCATTTCTGTAGCAGATGTTAAGGTCTCTTTTCGCGCAATCCTTGTGGCTGTTTCGCGTAATCCTCATATGTTTTCCTAGACCTTTCACCAATCCTGGATTACCGATTATAGTCAAATACATACATTTTGAGACCAACACAGTGTCAGCGCTCATACTCATATTTTGGTCCTCGGTTCCAGGAATTAACCTGGTAATTCCTGGTAATCCTAAAAGTCATGACTTTGGCGTCGGGGCGTCTATTCGTTTAACCACTCACCCGAACCGATCGAGTGGTCCTTCGGTCCAAAGTGTGTCTGTGGCTAGGCAAGCAATAGAGGGCTAATTGGACCGCGTTCAACAGGAAGGAACCAAGCCACATCAGTTATTGCCAAATTTAACCGGGTAATTTTATTTTTACGAGAGAACGTATGTGCGGATTCCTTTAAACATTTTAAGGAATTTGCTTCGTACTCTGGAGAAAATTCACTGAAATTTGCACGAAAATCCGCACAACCGTTTTCATGTAAAAAATTGCATTGCCCTATTTAATTTGGCAATAGCTGATGTGGCTTGGTTCCTTCCTGTTTATTGCGGTCCAATTGTAAATACACAGGAATTGCTATAATAGAGTTTTAGGAGCACTGTTTATGCGGAACAGAGCACTTCACTGAAGAAAAAAAAAANAAAAAAAAAAAAAAAAAAAAAAAAAAAAAAAAAAAAAAAAAAAAAAAACATATGGACATGTCTTTTTTGAGAATTCAGGGATAAGACCCTCCGCTTGCCCCTGCACGATTACAGAAACTCCGGCTAAAGTGGTCGCCTATAGCAATAAAAAATAAAAACGCCTACAATGAAACGAATAGGCACACCGAACTCCCAGGGGGTCGAATAGTGGTATCACGCTCCACAGCACACACTTTAAGATTTTGTATTATAAACCGTTTAGTTTTTGCTGCCGTGCTAGGGAAAAACTTCGTTTGAGCCCTCAGACGTCGCCATATTTTTTTGGATGAAAAATGAATTTACTAGAAAAGTTGTAAATATATATATTTTTTTTTTTTTTTCAAATTTATCTGACAACTTTGTTGGCAATTTAATCTAAATACCTGAAAAGTCCGAGGAAGAATATGCATGACTGTCCTGAAAAATGAACATTTTATCGGTGGAAATTTAGCAACTCTTGAATGTTCAGATGAAGTTTTTTAGCACGGCAGTTTAACTGATTTGTTTGGCAATAATGAAAACATTAATCAACTTTAATTTATTAATTTGCATGTTTTATTTTAAATTATTTAGATCATATTACGAGTGAAATGTACCGTAAAGTTTAGAATAAAAGAAGAAAAAAACATAGGTTTTCAAATAATGCGTAAACTTTTCGAGAAAATTTGGCAATGTTCAGATGTAGTTATACGAGTACACAGAGATATCGAGTATTAAAGATCCTATGCGTGAAGATCATTGAAGAGGATACAAATTTAAATGAAAATCTCCTTGTTACCACGATACTGCATAGGAATTTAGCGTATAGAGACGGAAAATAAAAACGCCCTCAATGATTTGAATAGGCACACCGAGCTCCCAGGAGGTCGAATAGGGGTATCACGCCTTCTAGCACAATCTTAAATATTTTGTATTATAAACTGTGTAGATTACTGATTGATTTATTTGGCAGTTAAAAAATTAATTAACCTTGTTGAATTCATTTGAATATTTTTCTTTAAGCAAGCTCCTTACACAGTAACGTGGATGATTTAAATACAACAAAAATATTGTGAACTTACGCTGTGCAGAATATTCAACAACAGATGCATTTCGGCGGATTGCGTTATGCATCTCTAGACAGTCCACAACTGCATATGCCCAGCCGCCTCCACAGTTTTCCTTCAACAGATCCGTTTAGTTAAGATACGTGTCTCAGGCAAATAGTAAATTCGGACATTTTTAAAAATTAAATAAAATAGGAATCACTAAACTCATGAAACTTAAACTTTCCTCACTTACCTCTTTTTCTGCGCGTCGTTTTGGAGGGCCTGCCGCCCTTTTTCCTCAGAGGATGTCTAAATGAACCACTATACCATATATCGACGGTGAAACTACCAAACCACGTATCTCGGTTTGCGACGTCGCAGACTTCCTGTCATACTTTATTTTTTAAATGAAAAACTACTTAACGTCCAGTCTTAAACATTTCTGTGATTTTTCCTCTTCGTGCGAAGAAAATTCTGTGAAAATTTCAAGGAATGATATTGATTTGGTCTACTTCAAAAAAATAAAATGTGAGCGTAGATTTTTAAACACCGCAAACGAGATACGTGGTTTGGTAGTTTCACCGTCGATATATTGTTCATACAGGGTGATTTGCAAGTCCCGCACCACCTCTAAAACCCTTAAAGTTTTGCCCTTTTTTGGGGTAGTCCACTTGGGGGTTTCCAAAAGTTGTTTCTTTTGACCTAGGGGCGTTCACAATATTTCAAATATCTATCTTATCTTCGTCAAAGGTTACCAGAGCGATGTCTAGTGCTAGTGGTGCGAGACTTTTTGATCCTCCTGTATATTTTGTTTGGGGGAGATATTTAAACTAATTTTTACCGGGGAAGTCATCATGAGTCAAAAAAGCAGACGTAATAGCGCGACCTGAAATAATATCCAAAATTATTGTCAGCATCACGGTAAAAAAAATTTCCGAGCCAAAATTCTCAGTTCCATGTGTCAAATTTTACGAGGTGCATAGATAGTCAAAAATTGTTTTACAGCACATTTTTCAGCATTAATTTGTGTTCATAAACATAAAAAAACTAGTTACTTACGTTATTTTTCACTTTTGAAACGAGTCCTCTTGTTTTCCAGTCGAATTGCTCCGGCGTTGGGCCCACGTTGATGGTTTCTTCATCAGAGTAAAAAGCTCGACCGTCGTACGTAGAATGATAGGTACAGTACTTACGCTGAAATTCGGTTTCTAGAAAAAATGTATGAAGAGGAGAACAATTGAGACGGAATACCCCCGTGTTCCACTCACTCAAAATTTATTAATTTAATCAGCTTAATCAGCTATTTCCATTGGATTAAAGAGATCTTCCCGCTTTGATGCCACTAATATTGGAAGTATCAGTGGGGGTGAATGAATGACTCGAATTTTCGTTTTAAAGAAGGAGTCGGTATATGAATGTTTGAACGACAAAAGTTAAAATACCTTTGCACCGATATGGACATAACTATTCAAGGAGATTTAGATAGTAAGTGTGATTTCGAGCTAGCTATCGTTAGCACTAAAATCGGTGCTCGACCATGCAAACAGTATAGACTCTGCTAATTTCACCTCGCGCAATAATTTTGCTCAATACTATGTAGCAGAGGATCGTAGACCCAGGACAGAGGTGAATACAGTGGGTCAATAAAGGTTGCTTCCGCGGTATCCTCGGATCGGATTTTTTTTCAACATGCGACGCAGAAGCACACATAATATAATTTGACGAAAGAGTGCCGGAGGTTCCTACAAGTTGAATGAGATAATTTGCAATAAAGCGATTAAAATTATTTTCAATATCCAAGCGGAAAGAAAGGAAATCAATAAAACTGCAAAAATTACTTTTTCACTCACTCAAAAATGAGTGACAGAGTTTGGTTTTTTACATGCGTTGGAAAGTGCATGATCCTCTCACAATGTTCACCCTTTACCACACAGTAAAAAATTGTAACATTTATTGTGGAGTTCGCCGTTCTGCGAGACCCCTCTAAATTTCGGGGCGTTCAAATTTCAGACGCAGACAAAACAATCACCAAATAGACCGTTGCAAACTTCAGCTAGGGCAAAAAGGAGAATTAATCAAATCCTATGGAAAATGGCTCAAAAATCACGATGAGCGCATCGGAAAAGCCTGAAATACACTCCAACTTCACAATCTGCGCAAGGAATGTGAGTTTTTAAAGCTTCCCGCTTCAAAAATGAAACTGAGGTACAGGTGAACATTCGTGAGAGGAGTGGTTCCATCCAACCCTTGCGCACTAGGATTCTACACAATATTATACATCATGGTTGAAGTTCCCGCGCGCAAATCGTGGAGGAAGCACCCCAATCTTTATCAAAGCAAGGAAAGTGTAAATATAAACACGCCAGTTGATAGAATCCCGTCTCTGCGTGTATTTTGGCGGGTTGGCTTCGGCCCTCGTACGCAAGGATTTGATGGAAAAAATCCTCTTACGACATGTTCACAGACCGGTGCCGGAGTATTATTATGGAAGCGGGAAGCTTAAAATCTTATATTTCCTAAGTTAGGAGTATATTCATACTTTTCTGATACACTCGTCGTGATTTTGAACCATTTTCTTTAAGAGAGAACCCTTTCCGTCCCTTCAGTGGCCTTTCGGCTGCATTCAAAGTTTTAGCCTCCAACATTTGAAGCGATTATTTCGCAAAACATCGAAATCGACGATAAACGCTACGAATGAGATCCCATTCGACGTTTTTATTCACTGGAAAAAAAAAACACATTGGATCTAGAATCCAGACTCTTAAAAACATCGACAAGAAAAAATACTCTTGATTCAATCAGATTAAATTAAGAACCAAGCCTCTTAATTTGAGCGGATTTCCTTTTGATTCAAGCGAAAATCTGATTGAATCAAGAGTCCTTTTTCTTGTCAATGTTTTCAAGAGTCTGGACTCTAGATCCAATGTGTTTTTTTTCCAGTGTTTCTTACTGTGTACTTACTGGTATAAGGTGCAAAGTGCGTAAGTCCATAGCGCGCAGAGCCTTTCTCCCGAGAATTTCGCTCTGTGATCTCCCTGAGCGTTGCCCCCGCCATCCAAAGGCGAGTGCTCGGCGACAAGTAGAACGGCAACCCCCAACTTTCGTTCAACCGCGCATCATACCACATCTGGATCCACGACCCGTTGTAGTGAAGCTCCGACAAGATTTCACCCTTCCTCTGCGGGAACACGAACTCAACCGCATTGCTACCGAGAACCATCGTCGCGATACTGCTGATCGTTTTGTAGACCACGTAGATGACGCGCAAAGGGAAGTTGATCAGTGCGTGCGAGATCGGTTTCAACCAGGTGTTGATCTTGTCGTAGAAATCCGTGACGGTGCGGTTGACTTTGGGCCACGACATCCAATAGTGGTACGTCTCGTTCCGCCACTTCAGCATTAGTTTTTTGAAATGAGCGTTTAATTCGTTATCGATGAACTTCAGTGTCCCTTTTATCACGAAGAATTTAAATAAATCGATGGCCAAGGTGATGCCGGCGAAAATTGCCCCGCAGCTCTCCCCGGTTGGGTCAAGGAGTTCTGCGCCTTTCCAGTTCTCAAGATCATCTGCTAGCTCCAATTGTTCGAGGTACTATGAGTTAAGACAAATACTTTCAAAGTAAAGCACAAAACAAAACAAGGCACGTTCCGTGAAACAATTTTTACATGAAATAAGGAAAACTTGCTTTTAAAAATGCGCGGAGGGAATGAAATTGCTGATTGGACACTTTTGTAGTTAAAAAAAGTGTCATTCATGCTTCAATGTAGACTTTACAGTAAAAAAATATCAATTTAATCACCCCCGTGGTTAAATTAGCTTTCCATTATATTGTGCGAGTAAAATGTGCAGTTGAAACATGTCAGACATATTTTNAGAATCATGTGCTGGAAGAGTGATAACAGTCGAAAAAGTCGACGAAAATAATTGTTTTTCGATTCCAGGATTTTGGGTTTGAGGCGCTGCTGCGCCCTTGCATGGGCTCCGTTCGGTCTAATATTTGGCACAGAGTCTACCTAAAACTAGTACTTTGAAAATATGAAACATTTAGCAAAATCCAGGTGGGGCCGGAAAAGGCCCAAAACGCAACTCCTCCTTTCCCTCGATAAAACATTCATTTTTTGACGACATTCATGCATATTTTTCTCTGACATTTTCAGACATTTTAGATTAAATTGCGTACAAAATTGTCTGAAAATTTTAGGAAAAAATATTCACAATTTCCCCAGTAACTTCGATTTTTATCGAAGGAATCTTGGCGATGCCTGGAGTTCCATACGGCGTTTTTCCTTAGCACGGCAGAGTTGCCATACCCCTCCTCAGCAAGTCCTGCCTGACAGAGGACTCGCAGAGGAGGGTAGGCTTTTCCAGAAAACCACTAGGTAAACCTGTTATCATCTTATATTTCACTTCAGAAATTTTAAAAATGTGAGATCAAAAGTTATCGAAAGAATAATAATTACAATGTACCTCTTCTCCCCAAGCAGTTCCCCAGCTGTTTTTAACGAGCCAATACGGTATACCAGATGTACTGTTCGCGCCCCTGGAACCTGAGGTAAGATAAAAGACAAACAGAGAAAACGTTCAAAATATATTGATAATTTAATTTATGAAAAGATGTAATCTTAAAACATGCAAAGGTATGATTTTATAGAGTTTTCAATGCTGTAAATCCACGAAGTCCACTTTCACTTTTTGCGCAGATTACAGCACCAAAAAATCCCTTTGTGGAAAAATGCCTTTCCTCTCAAAAAACTACCAGGCAAAAAGCGTCATCGTTCCCTATGGTTTTATTCAGAGGAGCATTTCTCTAATACACTAAAGTTAATTAGTTAGTATATTTTGAGACATTCAGCGTCACAGGTTATTAACGTCTATACAGAGAATTTTGAAAATGGGAGTGTATAAGAAAATTTAGATTTTTAAATTAAGAGAAGTGAAGAGTTTCAAAATTTTGGTAGTAATATTGGGTTCATCGCATGTAAGTGGGTTTGTATTTCTGTTCATAACATGGTGTTTTATAGAATATACATGTATATATTTGTGTTGGATAGTAATTTGTGTTTAATGCAGACAGATTTTAAGGAATTGTGAAAATAATCGGATTATAATTACCCTCGACACCGTATCCAACCACGACCACAGCGTGATTCATGTGCCTTGGATTGCAGTTCTCATCGTTACATCGAATCACCCCTCTTTTATAAAACTGTGGAAAAAATTGTGAGCAAAGCATGGACAATCAAATTAATACTTAGTTACCAAGAGTCTCGAGAGCAATGCTTTAACCTGTCTTAAAGGTGGAGTAATAATTAATATCGACGGTGTAAGTCAGCAATCATATATCTCGTTTGCGGTGTCTGAGAATCTCCGCCTTTATGTTATTTTTTTTAAGGAGAGCAAATTAAGATCATTCCTTGAAGCTTCGCATGGAGAAGAAAAATCATGATACTTTTAAAGAATTGCCGTTGAGTAGTTTTCCGTTTAAAAAATAAAGTATGACAGGAAGTCTGTGACGTCGCAAACTGAGTTATGTGATTGCCGACTTACACCGTCGATATGCGGTATTATCACTAACTCCTGCGGGCCGATTACTGAAATTGATGGACGAAGCTATAGACAAAGAAGACATAGGGAGTATGGAGTGATCCTATTGGTTGAAATGGGTGGTTCCTATAGACAAAGGGAGAATATGATAGACTGACTATCGGGTCTCTCGTGGGTTGCCGTCAGTTAGTCTGTTACCTTCCTCCTGTGTCCATTGCAACCACCCGCTTCCACCAATAGGATCTCTCCATATCTGTTTTTTCTCCTTTGTCTATAGCTGTGTCTATCAATTTCAATAATCGGCCCGCTGGGAAAATTACCAGTGTACCAACGTCATTACATATTTTGTAAGGACGGTATGATTTCTCTTAACTTATAAAGACCCTCTCAAAATGTATGTTTCAATCGTCATAACATCAATCCAAACTGACATAAGCTTCATGTAATTTTAGTCATTCCTTTTCTGCTCGTTTTGATAGTGTTTAATTTTGTAGCTTTTGTTTAGTTTTGTATTTTTGTATGGAGGAACATACTTATTTAATTGACAGAATGCCGGCTTTAAGTGCTTACTTGTAACTGAGCGCAATTGATGGCTGCAACAACTGGACCGTAATTGTAGATGAAGTGGCGTATAGTTTCCTCGCTGGGTGGCAAAGTGTAAAATGTGCTTTTTATTCTGATCTTGGCCATTGATGGCTCAAACAAGCAACTTGATTCTCTGAAAGTGTATGGGTACGAACGCTCCAATGCAAGGCCTCCGGCGTCTTTTATATACTTGTAAGCATTTGTCACACTTCCACCCGCACAACCTCGAGAGTTCTTATCGCAATCTACTATTTCTAGAATCACAAGAATATATTATTTTGGTCACGAGCAGTGTTCAAAACTCACCTTTAAGTTTCAGGAGCCGTATGGCCCATCAATGCCGCACTGCCGTGCGGTTGGCGCAATGCGAGAAGTATTCATGCAGCCTTGTAGGCGCTAATATAGGCTCGCACTGTCTGGCGCAATGCATGAAGTATTCCCGAAGTCTTGCAGGCGCTATATACGTTGAACGCCGGCCGCACTGTGTTTGGCGCGCTTATTCGAACTCGCTTTATAATAATTGCGGCGTAGTATAATATTGCTTGAAAGGCCTATGATGTGTTTCCACGCCGTGTGAGCATTTCAACGCAACGTTGCCTCGTTTCTTCCGATTAATTATTTTTTCCGAGAAAAGTTAGGAAAGTTCTTTATTCCCACGACCCTCATTAAATTTTTTCACTTCATTATTTTATCATCAGAGGATAAGACATTGATGACTTGTCAACAAACTAACCTACACTTGAGTTAACATAAAAATGCGTTTATTTTCCAACTGTTTCCCGGTTTGTCAAACTTCTACCTTAAATTAACTTGATTTTAAATTCGCGCATTTCTGTAGCAGATGTTAAGGGTTCTTTTCGCGCAATCCTTGTGGCTGTTTCGCGTAATCCTCATAAATTTTCCTAGACCTTTCGCGCAATTCTGGATTACCAATTATAGTCAAATGCATACGCTTTGAGAACAACACAGTGTCAGCGTTCATACTCATATTTTGGTCCTCGGTTCCATGAATTAGCCTAGCACGCTTAAGTCATGACTTTGGCGTCGGGGCGTCTATTAGTTTAACCACTCACTCAAATCGATCGAGAGGTTCGTCGGTCCAAAGTCTCATGAATTTTCAGACGATGTTTCTTTAGCACGGCAGTTAAACTGATTTTTTTGGCAATGAGGAAAACACTAATCAACTTTAATTGATTAATTTGTATGTTTCCTTTTAAATAATTTAGATCATATTACGAATGAATTTTTCCGTAAAGTTTAAAATTAAAAAAATCATCAGTTTTCAATTAATGCGTTTTTTCGAGAAAATTTGGCAATGTTTAGATGTGGTTTGTACGTACACAGAGTGGCTATACGTTTTAAAGATCTTATGCGTGAAGATCATTAAAGAAGATACATATTCAAATGAGAATCTCCTTGTTACCACGATAGTGCATAGGAATTTATCGTGAAGAGACGGAAAATAAAAACGCCTTCAATAATTTGAATAAGCACACCAAGCTCCCAGGAGGTCAAATAGTGGTATCACGCTCTACAGCACATGCTTATACATGTTGTATTATGAACTGTGAAGTTTATTGGGTGATTTATTTGGCAGTTAAAAAATTAATTAACATTTTTGAATTCGTTTGAATATTTTCCTTTAAGCAAGCCCCTTGCACAGTAACGTTGATGATTTAAATACATCAAAAATATTACGAACTCACGCTGTGCAGAATATTCAACAACAGATGAATTCCGGCGAATTGCGTTGTGCATCTCTAGACAGTCCACAACTGCATATGCCCAGCCGCTTCCGCAGTTTTCCTTCAACAGATCCGTTCAATTAAGATACGTGTTATAAATTCGGACATTTTCAAAAATTAAGTAAAATAGGAATCACTAAACTTCTGAGACTCAAACTCTCCTCACTTACCTCTTTTTCTGCGCGTCATTTTGGAGGGTCCATCGCCTTCCCTCCTCAGAAGATGTCTAAATAAACCAATATACACATAGGGTAATTGTCCATGCAGGGTGATTCATAAGTCTCCTACCACCTCTAAAACCCTTAAAGTATTGCCTCTTTTTAAGGTAGTCCACTTAAAATTTAAGGGTTTCCAAAAGTTGTTCCTTTTGACATAGAGGCACTTAAAATATTTCAAATATCTATCTCATTTTGGTCAAATGTTACCAGAGTGATGTCCAGTGCTAGTGGTGCGAGACTTTTCGATCACCCTGTATATATTGTTTGGGGCAGATATTTAAACTAATTGTTACTAGCGAAGTCGTTGAGAGTCAAATAAGCAGACGTAAATAGCGCGACTGAAATAATATCCAAAACTATTCTGCCGTGCTAAGGAAGAGCGCCGTATAAACATTAGATAATTGCTAAATTTCTTTCGATAAAACGTTTATTTCTGAGGCAAATTATGAATATTTTTCCTTGACATTTTCAGGAACTATAGGTGAAATTGCGATCAAAATTCATAACTTTACCAGAAAATTCTTGTTTTATGAAAGGAAATTCGGCAACGCCTTAAGGTTCATACGGCGTTTTTCTTTAGCACGGCAGTATTGTCAGCATAACGGTAAAAAAATTTCCGAACCGAAGTTCTTAGCTCCAGTTGCCGAGTTTTACGGGGTGCATAGAAAATCAGCCTTTTCCAGCATTAATTTGTAATTATAAACCTAAAAAAAAAACTAGTTACTTACGTTATTTTTCACTTTTGAAACGAGTCCTCTTGTTTTCCAATCAAATTGCTCCGGTGTTGGTCCTACGTTGATGGTTTCTTCATCAGAGTAAAAAGCTCGACCATCGTACGTAGAATGATAGGTACAGTACTTACGCTGAAATTCGGTTTCTAGAAAAAAATGTATAAAGAGGAGAACAATTGAGACGGAATACCCATGCTTTCCAGGATTCCACCTATTCAAAATTTATTAATTTATGAAGCTCATTCAGATTTTTCCGTTGGACGAAAGAGATCTTCCCGCTACGATGTCATTAATATTGGAAGTATCAATGAGGTTCATCGTTCATTAGTTGATTGAGTTCATGAGCGGGGGCTATCATCCTTTCAATGGCCAAAAATTCAAAATCTGCTGAGATTTTTAACATAATCGATGCAACGTATCACACACAAATTTGACCACACCAGAAACCTCAACGAAGGACCGCGTAAAGCGCGATCTTTCGTGAGGTCGAACTCGACGATAAATGTTACAAATGAGGTCCTATTCGACGTTTTTAGGGGCCGTCCCTAAAATACATAGTGCAATTTTTCAGCATTTTCGATCCTCCCCCCCCTTCACCCCTCGTAATGATTTCGTGGCGTAGGTCTCTATCATTATACCCGTAAAATCAAAATAGATAACGCTCTTCTCGACCCCTCTACCCCCCAGAGCCAGGCCCGCCACATCCTATCTCGGGCCCTGGTACCAGTTTTAAGGCCCGGGTCCCCAGCACAAAGGGGGTCCGGAGGCCTCCCCCGGGAAATTTTAAAAATTTTAAATCTACTTGGACGCATTTTGAAGCTCCCATGACGGAGATTTTCCATCAGTTTCTGCAGAATAATTACGCATTTTTTACTTTTAGCACAAAATACTTTCGGATTGTTGCATTCAAAACACCTGGAAATTTTTTTCGGGAGGGGGGGGGCAGATGATACTATTTTCAATTCTAGGGGGGTCCAAGCCTCCCTGGACTCCCCTTTCGTACATCTATGGCAAGGAAGTTGAGCCATTGAAGTCGCGGATGCCCAGACTGGAGACTCTTAGCATCCGACGACGGAAGAAAATGAAACGCAGTTACTAAAAATATCAATTTATACTAAAAATCTTGAAAACAGATAGAAATCTTCAAAGAAGTAAGGAAAATTCCACAGTGTCCCAGCATGTTTTTGAAAATTTATTCACCTTTTGCGAAATTTAAGGGTAAATTTATCACTTTTCCTTACGAGACAAGGGTTACATGTGAATTCGTAGTGGTTTTTTCACCAGTGGCACGGGCCCCTCCAGGGCCCGGGCTTCGGAACCAGGGACCCTGTATCCCCCCCCCCCCCCCCCTTGTGGCGGGCCTGCCCAGAGCGTTACTTAACTTAGGGACGGCCCCTTGTTTCTTGCTGTGTACTTACTGGTATAAGGTGCAAAGTGCGTAAGTCCATAGCGCGCAGAGCCTTTCTCCCGAGAATTCCGCTCTGTGATCTCCCTGAGCGTTGCCCCCGCCATCCAAAGGCGAGTGCTCGGCGAAAGGTAGAACGGTAACCCCCAACTCTCATTCAACCGCGCATCGTACCACATCTGGATCCACGACCCGTTGTAGTGAAGTTCTGACAAGATTTCACCCTTCCTCTGAGGGAACACGAACTCAACCGCATTGCTACCGAGAACCATCGTCGCGATACTGCTGATCGTTTTGTAGACCACGTAGATGACGCGCAGAGGGAAGTTGATCAGTGCGTGCGAGATCGGTTTCAACCAGGTGTTGATCTTGTCGTAAAAATCCGTGACGGTGCGGTTGACTTTCGGCCACGACATCCAATAGTGGTAGGTTTCGTTCCGCCACTTCAGCATTAGTTTTTTGAAATGAGCGTTTAATTCGTTATCGATGAACTTCAGTGTCCCTTTTATCACGAAGAATTTAAATAAATCGATGGCCAAGGTGATTCCGGCAAAAATTGCCCCGCAGCTCTCCCCGGTTGGGTCAAGGAGTTCTGCGCCTTTCCAGTTCTCAAGGTCATCTGCTAGCTCCAATTGTTCGAGGTACTATGAGTTAAGACAAATACTTTCAAAGTAAAGCACAAAACAAAACAAGGCATGTTCCGTAAAACAATCCTCACATGAAATAAGGAAAACTTGATATTAAAAATGCGCGGAGGAAATGAAATTGCTGATTGAACAATTTTGTAGTTAAAAAAAGTGTCATTCATGCTTCAATGTAGACTTTACAGTAAAAAAATACCAATTTAATCACCCCCGTGATTAAATTAGCTTTCCATTATATTGTACGAGTAAAGTGTGCAGTTGAAACATGCCAGACATATTTTTTTAAGAATTTAATTGTTCAATCAGCGATCCCTTTTTGCCGCGTGATTTAAATGCTGGTGCTGGTCACATTTTTTGAGTCATGTAAAATTTAATTTTTCTTTGGCTGTATCGCCCCACGGGTGGTTTCAAAGTGAATTCTTTCATACTGCAATACACAGATTCTGATGTAAGATTTAAATGTGGTTTACAAAATCGTATTACACTAGCATTGAATAATTTATCAGCACATCAGAAGGTTGGCGCATAACTCATGGTGTAGGTATGCACATACACATCATCATCACACTGATATATTAACGAGCAATTGAATAAGAGGAGAGAATTTGGTCAGCAGATATCTTCCTATGTCTTAGTAGGTCTCAGTAGGTCTTAGTAGTAGTCGTCGATGTTTAAGTAGGTGTTTATAGTTTTTTAACAAAGCTCACAGCAGCTGTAGTTAGACCCGCGCACCAGTGATAACTTCATGTGTTTCTGTTAAAAGGGGAACATATATTTTCCGTTTTCAGAAAAAGGGCCCGAAACTGGTCCTTACTGAAGGAAATGACAAATCGCCTACAATTCGCTAGCCACTACCGAACAAATAGAAAATCCTAAAATTCAGAAATGATGGAACAAGACTAGATCACTGATTACTTTGAATGGGCATCGTTGTATCCTGTTCCTAACATCACCTGTTCCCCCGGTAAAAAGCACATGACATGAGTATGTAGTGAATTCCCAGACACTGGGTGAGTTTAGATCTATAGGCAACTCAACTAACTTTGTGACAAAGCGTTGGGTATTACAAACAATTGAAGGAGCCTCAAGCCGCGATCGTGTTTTTGAATGCAATCACCCATCAAACCCACTTTGTGTTGATGCGTAGTATTGCGATTTATCGGAACGACTCATGAGTATCCTCCTAATTACCGGCGATTGCGAGAGTGAATCATCCCCAAGACTGAGACGTCAGTGCTAACACTTTAATGGCGGTTTTCTAAATTCCCTGTTTGTCTGCCCAAACTTTGCATCTTTAGTACCTGGAGGTCAATTCGTCGCCTACCTGGCATAAGGGCGTAACTAAACTTTGCAATTAGTCCTGTCTTCCATACAATTCAATACTTTCCCGGGCTCATCTCAATGTGTAGTTACGCCCTTATGTCAGCAAGACGAGGAATTTGTTGGCATTTTTGGATGTCCTCTACACCGCGTTATGCAGAACTGACCCTTCAAAACTGAGGTATGCCTCATCCCTCTCCCTTTTATCACGTAAAAAAACTCGGTAATATCCGCCCGTTTAAAGCTTGGCATCTACAACCAAAGATTTGTGGCTTCAACAGCAGAAATTCGACAGAGCTGCCGATGATTCGCGCTGCCGAGCCGAACAAAACCGTATCCTGCTGTGAGCCAATAAATTAGTGCCACAGGCAAAAACTAAAAAATATACAAAAATGATTAAGAAACAAGGACTCTAAATGTTCATAAAAATATTTGTGCGATATTTGTGAGAAAGATGAAATACGAGCTAAAATGATAAAAAGAAGCAACTGTAAGAAAGAACAAAAATTATGCATGAATCAATCACGAGATCGAAAGCGTACGTACATTTCTTTAAAGCTCTGAGGAACACGATTAGCTCCATTTTTTTTACCGATATTGTATTACATTACAGGACACAATAAAGGTGTAATTTGTAATAACTCCTTATAGTTCACAACAAATTTTACCATGAAGTTTTTGGTTCTCGACATTGAAATTGTAAGTGACAATCTTGTTCTTCTGTTCCAGCAGAAGTAGCGTTTTTCCCCGTTTAATTTGACGCGATCATTTTTTGTGCGATGGTAAATGAAACCTCGAACTCAATTTAAGCAGCGCAATAATACGCACTTTCACTGGTAGAAGTTTTGCTTCACTTTACTACTGTGCCAGTGTGGTGTCCTTGGTACGTTTACATGTTCGCCTTCACTGTGAATGGGCAGGCAATTTCTCAGCGTAGGAGCACGTTGATTTGTATCCTGTCTTGCTGCACTTTATAAAAGTGTGCACAGCGCTATGGACGGCGTGCGGAGTGGGCGGGCGTGGCGCTCGAGATACGTTTACATGTTCGCCTTCACTGTGCATGGGTAGGCAAAATCTCAACGTAGGAGTACGTTGATTTTTATCCTGTTTTGCCGCACTTTTCTCCACCATTTTTGAAAACATTGATCTTCATTGCAGCGCTGCGCTTTCTATCATCCTTGCTCTCCAACTTTTAAGCTCAGTTCTATCACTTCTTCGCTTGGAAAAGCAAATATCGACGACGTAAGTCCGCGATCACATAACTCGTTTGCGGTGTCTGAAAATCTCCGCCTCTATGTTATTTTTTAAAGAAGAACAAATTGACAGCATTCCTTGAAGTTTATGCAAAATTTTCTCCGCACAGAGAAGAAATATCACGGCAGTTTTAAGGAATTGCTGTTGAGTAGTTTTCCTTTTAAAAAATGAAGTATGACTGGGGGTCTGCAACGTCGCAAACCGAGTTATGTGATTGCCGACTTACGCCGTCGGTATTTTTGTGATTATTTTTCATTAAAAATTTCAAAAGTTAATAGTAGTAAGTAAGTAAAGCGCAGTTTTTACGCCAAAATCGAATCTCAAAAGCAAGGTTTTTTCCCTCTCCGATTTGATCCCAATACAACTTCCCATGTGAAAAAATGGCGCCGGAACGTATGTCTAGGCTTTGTTTAGGCTGAAGGACCCCTTAAAGAGTTTAAGGGACCTTTAAGGACCCCTTCAAGGGACCCTTTTACCTCTGTCGTGAAATAGTTGCTTGAGGTGCCACGCCGCGGCACGGCGAGAGGGCGGCCAGCGCGAAACGCGCATTGGCACCTACAAACCTAAGTGGATACCTCACACATTGCGCAATGCGTGAAGTATCCACTTAGGTTTGTAGGCGCCAGTAGCCTCTCGCGCTGGCAGCACGCCGCGCCGCGCCGCTCCGCTCTGTTTGGCTCTAATATTAAAACTCGCATAAGCCGCGTTTTTAAACTCATGCTTTGGAAATGTTTGCACACTCTACATGGATTGTTCTTATTTAAAGTGATGAAAAAAATATATGAATCGAATGAGAATATCGACGGTGTAAGTTGGCAATCATATAACTCGGTTTACGTCGCAAACTTCCTGTCGTACTTTCTTTTTCAAACGGAAAAAGGACCCTGAATTTTTTGTTCACTGAACAAACTTTGAGTGCCACCTTATCTTAATTTTTAAAATTTGGTTGAAAGACAAATTTCATTGGGTACGTATTTCTCATAATTGAGGAGCTATGTGCAAAAACGACCCGAGTGACTTTTCGGATGATGTATATTGTCATTATAATTGTAGACAAATTTTCAATGTTTTACTTCCTTTTTTCTTAGAAACCAATTTGATTCCTATTTAGGTCAAAAGTGACTCCATGCGAAAACGGCCCAAGTATCCCCAAACAAAATGTACTCCTAAAAATAATCTGTCGTTCTATGTAATAATGGCCCGAAACACCTCCTCTATTTCACTTATTTCTAATTCAGGACAATATCTTTCTGTATTTCGATCGTCCTAGTTTAAACTTGAAGATAATTATGACTAATTTATTTTTACCTCAGTCTATACTATACCTAATAATGTAGCTAACTGGTACCATAATGAAATATTCGATCGCTGTTTTCTGGAACCGCAATTTTGCTACTCGGGCCATTTTCGCACCTACCTCCTCAATTTAATTTAAAGTTTATACTCACGAGAAAAATCTGTATAAGGCGTAACAGCGAATGTTGCAGTTCCAAGTTTTGCTGTATTCAATTTAGCAATGAGCTTTAGATTTTCCTGGAAATTGTTTTGTCTATGATCCTTTTCTTCTTGTGAATAATTCTTATGAAAGGCAGTAGCAAAGGCACTGAAAGTGTCATCCATTGGAAGATTTGAAATACCCGGTTGTATTGCGCTCGTGCTGTTCCTTGTAGATTGGAAATATTCCGGGAAATTCCACACAGTCAGCCCAACTAGCACCCTTTCCGAAAATAACTTATTCGCCACTTCTTGGCCAAATATGGAAGTAGTCAAGTTACTTGCACCCTTGTAAAGCCTTTATTTTCAATTGGACAAGAAGAAAGTAATTAATTTCAACGATGATATATTTTTCAACCACATTTCTGCGTATAATTAAAAGCAACCTGTATCTAAAGGGAATATTCACTCGTAACCTAATCAAAAGAAGACAACTTACATTCAGAAGGAAGATTCTCTGATTACAAATAACTGCAAAACTTTATATTGAATATCTACAATTTCCGAGAGATATCATCATCAAAAATTGTTCATGCCCATAAAAGCAAACACTTCATGCCAGTTGTACCACTCAGCTTACAATTAACTGAGGTACTGCCGGCGCACAGTGGATCGAGTCAATAGAAGAGGTCGGACAAAATTTAGAAACTTTAAATGCTTATAAATCCGTTTTTACAAAACTTTGAGGTTCTAAAAGTGGTTCCCTTGGTTTCCTCGTGAAATTGTCTGACAGAAGCACCCTTCTTATAACGAAATAAACGTCAAAATTTGCGGTTTTAGTCAACGACGATTTCATGTCCTCCTCTCTGATTGACTCAATCCACTGCGCGGCGTTTTTGCTCGCTTGTAAGGTGCTCCTGCAAGGTTTGGTTTTCGACCACACAACTGTCGTGATTGTGGCATCACTTATTTGTGAGGTGGCCATTATTCGATTTTCACCGAAGTATAATATTTATTTTCTTATAGAGATAACAAGACGCACAATGTCTGAACCAATTTGAATTCGTTTTTTTAAGCAAATTTTTATTTTTCATTCCTTTTTTTTATCATTAAATATTCTATGGGAAGGGGACATCGGCAAAACTTAGGATCTTTAGATCTTTGTTTTGAATGAATACTTATGCTGATGTGAGGGGTTTTTAAGTTAAATGTGAATATTAGGTAGTCAACAGCCAACGAAAAGATATATGCATTGCAGTGGCGTGGCGTGAACAATCGATATTTCCCCATTTGAAGCTATAGTAAAGAATCGATTATGAAGGTGTTCGTTACGAACACCCTGTTTATCGATTATTTTCCATAGGTTTAAATGACAGATCAATCGATACATCACAAAGCACGCCACGCCACTGATGCATTGGCGGATCCAGCAAATCGGCAACATTGTCTTTTCTCCATTTAAACCTATGGAAATATATCGATTCTTGGAGGGCAAGGTGCTCCGACAGGAATCGATTTTTTAGTATAGGTTTAAATGGAGGAGGTCCGGTTTTGCCAAATTGCTGGATCCGCCTCTGGACATATGGCTGTCTCTGCCTCATCGGTGTCCATGAAGCCTCCGAATGCAAAAGTTTCCACCTGTCGACAAGAAGTTTGTGGATGATCCCTCTTTGTAACTGATTTTGCTATCTCTATCTTCCAACGCGCGGCGCATGACAATTTTATCATGATCTCAGCATTATTTTGTTAAAGGAAGCTCATTTTAAAAGTAGAGGGTAAGAGTTAGCTGTATTCTTTGATTTTGGTGCAAATATACGCAGAGAAGCAAATCGGAACACAATACCTGGATAGTAAACTCAATCCGAGATTGAGCACTGCTTGCTGGGAATTGTATCTCGTTTTATTCCAAACATCATAAACATCCAAGATGGTGAAGTTAAACTTAGGATCCTTCATGTGGTACCAGAATGTCTCATTCCTCCAAAACAGGTTGATCTTCTGGATCCCGCTGAATACCTCGTGACCGTACCAGATGAGATAATGATTGCTCAGGCACAAATGAACGAACCAAACCAATAATACACCGAACGCACACCAAAATTCGCCCATATACTCTCCTTCCATTCCGTCATCGCCATCATCAACCTGTCTCTCAAATCTAAGCAATTCTGTATTTTTGTAGATGCGATTGATCCGGTCATTTTCGTGGGAAAAACTTTTCTGTAATCAATAAATTTTTCCTTTCAAAAAAGTACTCGGAATGACAGAAACTTGCCCTGTCGCACCGTATGTTTCCGTAAAAACTTGCGTCTTACGCAAATCTGCTGGGAGAGAGGACAACGCCCCCAGACCCCCCCGCAGCGCCCCGCACATCCATCACGGGAGGTAAGTGTATTTTCCGGAGGGCGGTATCCGTTCAACGATTCACCTCCTCCCAAATTCTCAAAATTTTCTGTTCGTAATTTTCTTAGTCGCTTGACGTTCGAAACAGTGACGTGGCATATTTTGCGATCAGTGTTCGAAACTCACAGGCGCCAACGCGCCAAATGCACCTAAAAAATCTGGCGCCTAAAAAATGAAGCCTCTGAGCCAACGTGGCCCCTGAAAATTGCCCCTATAAATCTGAATTTTCATATTAGGTGATCATTCGAAATTTTCAGCACCACAAATGAAAGCTTTTTCTATTCTTCACGATTTCATCATTTGTGCTTTTGTCTCCCAAGTTACAGCTACTTACTAGTTCTGTTACGAAAACATCTTGTGTCTAACTTTTCACTAAATGCGCCTTAATTTATAGGCAAAAAGTCAATTTGGCCCCTAAAAAATCTTCAATGGCTCCTAAAAATTGAGCTTGATGCGCCACATGGCTCCTAAAACTCAAAGGTGAGTTTCGAACACTGCGCTTACTTCGTTACAATCTGCGCTTGAAACCTGTGAAAAAGGATCGATAAAAAGGGTGTTCGCAAGGAACGCCTTGATAATCGATTCTTCACCACAGCTTCAAATGTGGAGATATCGATAATCGATTACTCACACCTCACCACTGGCTCAAAATTGATGACGACATAGGTAAGAACCATGCATCATACAATCAACTCGAATGTCTTGAATCCATTGGAGGCATAGGACGGGTGAAATTTAGACGTAGTTCTGCCAAACGGAACTGTGTGCATTATGACGTAAGCCCTCTTATGCATATATCCATAGGGATCTCAGGGCTCATATCTGAATGCACATGGTTCTGCTTGGCAGAAATACGTTCATTTGACCTCCCGATTTCTTTGCGCTCCCCCTCTTCAAAATCTACAGCACCAATATCCGGTTTATGTTCATGGAGAAACGGCTCAAATAAATCACCATTCACCACCCATCAGATTAAATTTTGTAAACAACTCTTTAAATTGAGAAGTGGTGTATACATTCAAATGTCAAAATCGTTGACAGTCAGAAAAACCATGTACATGCAACACTCAATTTTGACACATATTCACACCCCCACAAGGGGAGCGCGTTTGCTAGAATATGCCACATTTAGTTATTTATAGATCAATCATGTTTTGTTAAGTGTGAAAATTTTTTCAAGTGGCCCGGCACACAATTATTATACCACATTAGGCAACTAAAAAAGTATTATATATGGCCTTGAGGACTATATCCTTGGATATTGATATGTATTGAAATTATGCTTCGAATAGACATTTTATAACTTTCTTAAAAAAGAAAAAGAGAAGAAAAGCAAACATATCTGATTTTCTATGTTGGAATCAATACCGTCAAAGAAATGCCTTTAAAATACGTTGAAGAGAGTAGGTGTCGAATTAATAAGAACTCTTTAAAAATGATTAATTATAAAAGTAAATTGCTTCCAACGGTTTGTCGGCTTGCCCCCATCCTACGTATTTTCTTTTTGCTATTTGCTTTAAACAAACATTGATTTTGAACCTTGACCTGAAACGTTCGCTTCAAACGTTGTGTTTGTACATTGAATTCGGACCTCGAACTTACAGCATTTATTTTCAAATATCAGTCCTCAGAATTTTGGGAGCAATGAAAGTTTTTAGAATGCTTCAAGTATGTTAAGGAAGTATCTCTACGTCAACGCCTCAAAGGTGCCTTTTGAATATTTTCAAAAACTCCTTAAAGTTGTTTTGAAGTTGATCCAAAAAAAGTCCTGGTTGCCTCCTTTTTAATGAAAGGTTTAGAGAAATTTTTTGACACATTGAGCCTTTTCATTCCTATTTTCGGGCCGGCCCCAAAAGGTTATAGGACATTTCGTCAACGATTTTTTGTCCGCGCACCTGTTTTTTCCAGTAATTTACGTCCACGCGTTTTTTCGGCACGGGAGTTTTGGTCCACGTGCAAGTTGAGACTCAAAGTTAATTGTCCCACTTGTAAATACAAACGACAATTGCTCACGATGTTTTTGGATGAAAATGTATAATGTCTTGGAAGAATGAGGGTTTGCTTGTTTTTTTGTTTTGTCTGTTTGGTCCAACGGAGAATATATATAGTTGAGAGTTTTGTTAAAAATGGGGGAGCGTCAATTCCATGAGACAAAATTCACTAAAACTCTCTACACCTCTTTGGTGTAACAGGACTTAATTATCTTTCAAGAAATTCCCACCTTGTTATACCTGAACCGGATAAACCTCTATATTTGCATTAGCTAAAGGCTCTTAGATTTTTCCTGTCTACGATAAGTATCTTGATTTATTTTGCAAGGAAAGATCTGTACTTTTAAAGGACGCCTGTCATTCTCAATAGTTCAATTTCGTATACTGTGCAACACCTCTGTTATGAAACAGTTGCTTCAGGCGCCGTTGCACGGCGGGCGGGCGACCAGCGCCAAACGCGCATTGTTGCCTACAAACCTAAGTGGATACTTCAAGCATTGCGCAATGCGTGAAGTATCCACTTAGGTTTGTAGGCGCCAGTGAGCCTCTCTCGCTGGCAGCACGCCGCTCCGCTCTGTTAGGCTTTAATATTCATACTCGCATTGTCAGCGTTCTTTTAACTCATGATTTAGAAATGTTTGCACACTCTGCATTGATTATTCTCATTTAAATTGATGGGAAAAAATATTTATCAATTTATCAAAGGAGAATAATAATATAATGTGTGTTTTGTGAATACATATATTGATGGTTCCGTGTCAAATTTAATGATTTCCAAAGCACTTTAATTTTTTCTTTTACATTTTGTGCTTTTATTGTGCTGCAGCGAGGTGTACGCGCAACCAAACGCTCAAAATTTGACGTATTTGACTCTAAAAGATCGATGTAAAAATGGGTTAAAACTAAAGATTTCGTGCCTCTTGGTTTTTTTTCCTCTTTTATTCATTTTTGCAGTTTCTGTCAGCACATAACTGCGGCTCATTGAGATTAATGACGCTTGGAAAAGGTTTTACAAATATTTGCTACGTTTTAGAATATACATGTTTTCAAAATGAAGTAATAATTTCGTAAAGAAAAAATTTAAAAAAAAAAAAAAAAAAGTACCTATACATGTATGAGGTATATTGTACATCGAATATTTTTAGGATGGAAATAAAACCAAATATTCACCAATGACAATTTAAAAAAATGATTCAAAAGGAGAAAGTAGTAACATTTCATTTAGAAAATGAGCAACCATAACAACACCTCCTTCTCTCTCAATTTCACATTTCCATAATAATTTTACATACGGACTAAAATATAACGCTTGGACCAAGTCACTGTTGCTTATTTTACGTGTGGACGTAAACTACAGGACAAAAAAGGTGCGCGGACAAAAAATCGTTGACAAAATTTCCTGAAACTGCCCCTAATAGGAATTAGGAACTTAGGAAATGGGAACAAAATAGGAACCTCAACCGTATTGAAGTTTGTCCTTCTTATTAGGCTAAAAGTACAGCGAATAGTTTTCCTTCCGATATACCATATGCATGACGGCAATAAACAACATGGAATTGAATAGCAACCCTAGTCTAATATCTCAATATAATGAGACAAATCTGTTGCCTCCCAAAAGTAATTTTCTTAAAACTTTGGTCATCTTAATTGAATTTCTGTGATTTCCCCACAGAATAGGGCCACATTTGGACCGCATTTAGTAGAAAGGAACCAAACCACATCAGCTATTGTAAGATGGAACTTGTAGGAAGTTTAAAACTTTACAAGAGAACGTATGTGCAGATTCTTTTAAAAATTTTAGAGAATTTGTTTCGTACTATGCAGAAAATTCACTGGACTCTGCACAACCGTTTTCATGTAAAAAATTAAATTGTCCAATTAAATTTGCGATAGCTGATGCGGCTTGGTTCCTTCTAACTTAACATGGTTCATTTCTAATGTATTTTTTTTTTGTCAGTCCGTTAAAATGACCTTGATTTTCTTATTCTCCCCGTGGGATTATCAACCGGCAAACAAATGATGAAGTTATCAAAATACTAATAGGGATGGCACAAGCATGAAATTTAGTCTTTTGGTGAAAATCCATATGAGTAAATCTCCCTTCAACTGAGGTGGCTTACTCAACTTGCAGTGATTTACAATTTACTAAACACTATGCAGGGATCTAAGAGAGTCTAAAAGATACCTCTGCTTGCAGTTAAATCTAAATTTATATCCATACACAAGAGCCCATTTTCACAACGCTTTCTGGCACTCTAGCCCGATCTCCCCGACATGACATCCTTATTGGAAGTAGGAGTTAGTATCCCTTTACCGTTGATTAAGAGATATCCCTTCCGCAAATTCTCGCTAACCTCCTTCTGATATCCATCCTCGTTGCTTTTGTGTCATGTGCTCTTGCATCTTGAGTCCAAATCCTTAGCTGCTGAACCTCACATTTAGAAATTAAAATACTTTTTACCATACCGTTGGAAATTCTCTTCTTTTTCTCTTTAGAGTTCGTCATTCCAAGGGGATAGTGTTTAATTTTGCTATAGTTTATCCTTCCATTCTATTCTATTCTATTCTATTCTGTTCTGTTCTGTTCTTGATCTTCAAGCTTGATCTGTTCATTCATCGTATTCTAACCGGATACAAATGTACATTCAATCCGTGCTGCCTTTGATCTTTTGCCCCTCTGTCAACTCAATGGTTTTCTCTTCACCTCTTAAAATTAGTGTCTTTCTTTTAAATGCATTGACTTCAAAATCCTTTTTTTACATTCCTCTACCGCATTGTGCGTCATGTGTTCGGCATTATCCTGGTCAATATTTGGACAACAATTGTCATAGGTCAGCGGCAAAGCACAAAGTAAACGGAGTTTCAAAATCTCATCGAACAGATAATCTTCTCACCATATTTCTTCTTGCACTCCTTCTAAACGTGCTCAAGGTATCTTACCATATTAAAAAAATGAAAGCAGTTTTTGTGTGTAGGTTTGTGTCGATTTGCAATCTTATTGGTTGTTTGATCAACCAATCAGAAACCGTCATTGAAAAACCCCGGGAAATTTAAATTCCAAGAAATTGGGATAAAACGACTTAATATTCTAAAAAAATGTAAGTGACAAAGATTTCTTCCATTTAAATCATGCGCCAAATCAAAGATTGTATCCAAATTTACTGATATGGACTCTCAGGTAAATAAGTCCGCAGCGCCTCCCAACCTGCCAATGACACTTCACTTGATGAAATTCCCCTCATGTCACCGCGGGACATGGGAGACCTTACTCATTGTGTACTTATAGAAAGGGGATATATCTACGGTGTAAGATGACAATCACATAACTCGGTTTGCGACGTCGCGGACTTCCTATCTATCTATTTTTTAAACGGAAAACTACTCAACGGCAATTCTTTTAAACTGCCATGATTTTTCTTCTCTGTACCAGGAAAATTCTGCAAAAACTTCAAGGAATGATGTCATTTGTTCTCCTTTAAAAAAATAACATAGAAACGGATATTTTTAGACACCGCAAATGAGTTATGTGATTGCCAACTTACACCGTCGATACATACACTTTACTAAGACCGTAAAAATCCGCTTTAAAAAATCGTACAAGTCACGATTTCTGTAAAGCGCTTTTCTTCGTCTTAGAGTTCCTTTCGCTTTTCGATGTGCATCTCCTTAAGGATACACTGAAAAAAAATTATCGGCGTTTTTACCAAGGTCCGTTGGTACCTTTACCATCTCACTTTTTTACCAATTATTGGTAATTTTACCAAGACAGACTGGTAATCTTACCTGAAAACCGGTATTTTTACTGTTGAAAAAACAGTAAAAATACCGGTTTTCATTTCCGTTTCCTTTTTTTTTCCGTTCCTAAGTTACATAACGCTCTGCACTGAAAAAAAATTCTCGGCGTTTTTACCGAGGTCCGTTGGTACCTTTAACATCTCACTTTTTATACCAATTATTGGTAATTTTACCAAGACAGACTAGTAAGCTTACCTAAAAACTGGTATTTTTACTGTTCTTCTCAGGTAAGAATACTACTTTTATTGGTAATCAATTCCCGGTAACTTTGCCATTTTATCTCGGTAATTCTACCACGGTCGAAAAAAAAATATTGGCGTTTTTACCGGGGTCTAGTAAAATTACCGAGAAAGTCAATAATTTTACCGAGATTTCTCGGTAAAATGACCGATTCCATAAATGATAATTTTACCAAGAAAAAACTGGGATCAAATAGAACCCTAAATTCTTGGTAATTTTACCCTTTTCTTAGTAAATACTCCGAGATTTTTTTTCCAGTGTATATTAAACCGTATTCATCCTATAATCAAAAACTGCCCAAGAAAATACTTTGTCATGGGGAAAACTTTACTCCTATGGGCTCAAGCGGTTATGTCCATTATTAGTTGTTTATTAGTCCATTTGAGCTCATGTTGACTTGACGCCTAGGCAGGTGGGTCCGCAAGGTAGACTGGGTGGAAAAATCAGTAACGTTGATGTAAAAAGGAGTTATCAGAGGCAGGAGAAAGCGTCCTCTCCGGTCAAGTTTTAAGGAAATAATTTGGTGGATTTGTCCACATCGTGTTCCTTTTTTAATTATCCTGCATGTTTGCTCATCGCCGATGTCCATCTGCAACCAGAGATTTTGCCTGAAACATAGCGAGAGGGAACCTAAAAATTGGAAGATCGGGACAGTGGGGCGGCGTAAATGATCGATTATCGATATTTCCCCATTTATAGCTATGGTAAAGAATCAATTATTACACTAAAAAAACTAATATCGACGGTGTAAGTCGACAATCACATAACTCGTTTGCGGTGTCTGAAAATCTCCGCAACTATGTTATTTTTTTAAAGGAGAACAAATTGACATCACTCCTTGAAGTTTTTGCAGAATTTTCTTCGCACAGAGAAGAAAAATCACGGCAGTTTTAGAGAATTTCCGCTAAGCAGTTTTCCGTTTAAAAAATAAAGTATGACAGGAAGTCTGCGACGTCGCAAACCGAGTTATGTGATTGCCGACTTACACCGTCGATATGCTGGTTTAGCTGATATCCTGATTAATCGGTCAAAAAGTCTCGTGATCCCAATATGCTAATTTTACTGCCCTTGCACTCCTTGCAGTTAACTTTACATCCTGTGAATGCAAATTCAATTGCGTGTGCAATCGAGGCAGCATCTTAGGATCACCGGACACATTTTTGACATCCTAGGTGCTGAAACAGCATATCATTTGTTTCAGTGTACGGTATTCGTTGCGAACACGCTGTTTACGATCCTTTTCCGTAGGTTTAAAGGGTAGATCAATCGATTTAACCCAATGCACGCCACGCCATTAGATCGAGACTTTCCATCTCGTGCTTGCTGCTTTTTGAGGAATCTTTAAGTACAATAAAGAAACAGTCATTGTCTCGCTTATTCGTGCTATTTTCTCATGAAAATTAGGTATTACAATTTACGAAGAGTAGAATTTAATGTTTAAACTTTACTCAAAAACTTCCAGATCAGCAGAGATTTGTACGCAGAGTCATTTACCTACGCTTAGAAATCATAACTGACCTCGGAAAATTTTGGAATTATTGAACATTATTTTTGCCTTTTGAAGTTTTCTGAGAGGACATGGCCACTCCTAATTTGGAATTCGTTAGCCAAAATTGTTTTAAAAATCGCCAATTACAAACCACCCCGCACCTCAAATTTCTTGTCCCTCAAAAAGGAAAAAGTCAAGAATAACCAATAGACCTTTAAAAAAGGTGCGCATTTCAGAATTATGATACAGTTTTTTTATAAAAATTTAAGAGGGTGTCCCCAAATGGTTTCATGCGAATATTCTTTTTCATAATTATATGTTTCCCTAAAAAATCCAAAAATATGAACATCTGATCAAAGGACAGAAACAGGAATTATTTTTAGAGACAAGTCAATCATCAAGATACAAATGATAAAGCAAAAGCTAAAAGAAGCGGGTAGGTATCACATGTAATGAAAAAGATCACCAAAACCAATAAAAAAATCCAAAATGAATCACAATTCAACTTACTTGTCTTCAAAAAAACAATGTAAAGAGCACCGTTATGAAAGCATAAAACTGAGGAATGCTGCGGGAAAGGAAATTTAAATTAATATATTTAACAGCTAGCAGGAGCGTAAGAAGTTAGCACATATCCCGGACTATTTTCACGGATATCTGAACCACATAATTATGAGCGTATGTATAATTGTATATCTCACAGACTCGTGGTTCCAGGGCTCATTAAGATCGCATATTAAATTGGAGGGAAATAGAAATATCCTGGCAAGACTCGTTCACTTGGCGATTAATACGGTTACTATTTCTATTCTCCAAGCAGTTAATTGTGGCCATTTCAGCATTCGAACCAAGGTTTTATGACGAACTATCCATGAAACCGATCAAATTAAAAATTGAGATGAAAGGAAATAAAAAGGAAACTAGTGAGTCTGGTTTTTGTTCAACTTTCGTTGAACCGACGTATGTCGTCGTGGAATTACACGTGTAAAAACTGCAGTGAAATATTTCATTTATCAAAACTATTTCAAACTATCTATATGTATCCATGTCTGCATGCCGGTTTTTTGGGCTTGTTTTGATTTCTATTTTTATTTCATAGTTAAATCAAATATGTAGTCTTTCCGATTATTTTAACTCTAAATATTTATCCAAGTACGTCAATTTCACTCGAAGGCCATTTTTTGACCTTAGGGATGAGCTTGAAGCTATTTTGGCTAAATTATCTAATCAATTTTTTTACGAACAAATCGAATTCAGATAAGCGGGCTAATTCTACAACGAACCACTCAGTTAGGGCTCATTTTTTTTAATTTTGAGAGATTTCAATCCACCGAGTGTTTAAAATGGGATGTGAGTAAAAATAAAAACAACTTTTACGGGGTGGGGTTTCAAGTATACCGAAAAAAATCAAAGAGGTATTTTACAGGAGCACAATGGCACTATCTGTAGCCTATAGCTTGAAAATCAATCAAAATTAAGGTTGGGAGTCAAGGATAGTAAAGACTTAATCAATAGTTGGAAATAGTTAAAAATATTTCCAAATAAGTTGCAAGCATTACTGGCTGATGCATTTCTTTAATGTTTTTTCTCGGGGTACACTGAGAAAAGAAGTTTGGTCATATGGACCGAATGTACGGTGTTAAATATCAGCCGTATTGTTCGGTTCATGCGACCGCTCTTTCGGTCCTGGGAACCGTATCCTCGGTTCATGCAACCGAGCATTAAAACCGAACAGAACGAACGAAAAAGCTCGGTTGTATGAACCGAGGATGCGGCTCCCAGAACCGAGAGAGCGGTCGCATGAACCGAGCAATCCAGCTGATATTGAACACTGTACATTCGGTTCATATGACCGAACCTTACTTCGCAGTGTACTAAAAATCTTCTCTCCATTTCTTCTAATACTCAAATTTTTCAACAAAACATGCTTGTTGAGAAGAAAAATTAAATGGTTTTTATCCCTTTCGCTTAAGTTAAATCTCAAAAAAATATCATTCATGGCATTTCCATTTTATAAAAAATAATTTTGCTTTTAAAGTAAGTTTTCCGGCGTAGTTTCAGATTATGGCCATATCTTAAGCGAAGTATAATGCCAAGTTTTTAATACGTGAATTGTAAGAATCTTCATTTTGTAGACCGTAAATAACGTAATTAAATTTCAACATTGCAAAAGTCCCTCTTGCAAAGCGTGCCTTCATAGAAAACTACTGAGTGTCTACAACATAAAATATCACTGGATTTTCCTCTGACCAAACGTAAAATTCATTTAAAAGTTGATCAGGTATTGCTTGGTGGCGCTCTTTTAAAAAATGAAACAATTCGACAACCTTGGAATGAAGTTACGTTTCTTTGTCCAAGAAAATATCAAATGAGACAATGGAGGATGTTGAGCAGCGTCATATCTTTTAAAACGTCTACAAACAACTATTCGTGCTTTGACGCAATGCGTGTGGCTTGCGTAAAAAATGAAGGCGTGACAGTATATTAGGACAACTGAACCGGTTACCGAGCGCACAGTAATGATTCCATCGGACGCATTTAATGAAGCGAACACTATTTATTCCGGTTCGGAATAGAGCGCTAATTATGTGTCCAGTATTTTTTGGCGTGAATTATATATGTTAGATGAATACGCACATGCTATTTAAATGAATGGGGAAAAGTAAAATCATTCCCTAAAATGACTTCAGACAACATCAAAGACCAGAGGAATAAGGAGTTTTTGACTCTCTTGCAAATATCCATTTGCTACGTAATCGACTTTTCAAGTCATCCATTTCTCAGAGTTCTTGAGCAACAAATTCCCTTCATCTCCGATCATTAGAAAAAAGAGGGATAAAAAGAAACAAATTAAAAACTTTCAATCAAAGTTTTTCCATAGAACTCTAAAAGGAGGTGAAGATACCGTTTTATTTAGTGCTAACAATTTTTTTTGTGACCATAGATCAGGAGAAGCATTTAACATAATATCCTTAAAACTTTAGGGGCTTCATAGCCGCTAATCACCTATCTCGTGATAGGTTCACCTAGTAACCCTTGATCGATACCAAGTAATTTTAAAAATGTCTCAACTTCCTAAAAACCAAAGCATTCTCAAAATCCTCCATCACCATCTCAGCACAAAAAACAACTAAACTTAAAAATAATCCTGTAACAAGACACATAAATGGTAGCTGCAAATCGTTCAAATTGTAAGGTCTTGGCTCTTCATCCTCAAGGGGCGCAGAATCCAATACATCAAAATTACTCTTCCTCCCAGACAATCGTATATGATGACCGGTTTCTACAAACTGAGAAGTTTTTTCATTGAATGCGCGAAATAAGTACGAATTTTTTAGGAAGAAGAAAATAATCGAATTCGTTTTTAAACATTCCTTAACTACATGGTATTCAATTTTTTCGTGGATAGGCCACCGAGTTACAACAACACGCGATTCTGATCGGAGAGAATTCGGTAATTCCACTAAAAACGCATCGTTCTCCAAAACGAAGTGCAAATTTTTTGCAAATTCCTCCGGAACCACATAAGTTACATTTCTAACAGAAAAATTTTGCAAAATGAAGCTGGTGTTCATACAGTCACTTTCCACAACGACAGCATTTTGAAAATCGCTAGAAAGTTTCGCCCTTAACTTCTCGGACAGGCCAAGCTGAGCGAAATATATCGCTGCTGATTCGACACTGGTCACCTGAACGGCTAAATCAGAATCCTCCAAGTCCTTCAACGTGTCGATTTCGGGATACTGCACTGTATTCGCCAGCAGCGTGGTCATGCCGCCGAGGAAAACGTTGGAAATGATGAACGCTGAAAATATGAAGACCCAAAACAAGACCTTTCCCGTGAACAGCTTGCCCAGAAGCAATCGCGGTGGACTACCACATATAAAGTACGAGTATATCATGTACACCGACGATGCAGTACTGTATGAAGTAATAAGTTCCTCCTCCGAATACAAGCCCAGAAACAATCCTCTCTGAGCTTTTAAGAACACGCGCTGCATGAGGACGAAGAGAACAGCCGTAACGAGAATCAAAATCCAAACTATAGTCGTGAAGACTTTGAACGGCACCAAACACTGTGGCATGAGTTCACTGTGCGGGGTGATGATACACATGGCTTCCATCTCAACGCCGATCGAAAAATCGAATCTAGAGAGATCGACCTCCTCCAAGCTTGCTAATTTTCTTGGCTCGTGTAAATGCACATTCAATTTTTGACCTTCATCTTCTTGATCGGGACTAAATAAAAAAGATACAAACGTGCAATTTAACGACGCCTCAAGTTCGTGGAAAATGTTTACCTGAATAGCAAGATGGTATGGGATAACATCCCAATTAGTTGAGACACTATCCCGATAGCCGTTCGGAATTACGTTCACAAGTTTTCCGTTCATGTTGGTGACGGAGAAGTCGAAAAAAGTTTCGTTGCTCTCTCCATTGTACTGGCTTATATTTTCGACAAATGGGTCGTATCTACTGCAGCCCCTCTCGTTGCAGATAATCGTTTTCAAACCGTGGTAGAACCGCCAAATAAACTTAAAATAAAAAATCCGCAGATCAAAATCCTTCGGAGAATTTTTTATCTCTAAATGGAGAGCATTAAGTGGTTCCTGAGGGTAGAGGCAGGTTGTGGAGTTAATATTACCCCCGTCTGACTCTTTTAACATGAAAATCAAGTAATTATTCGAATTCCAAATTGGGCTTGCGTACAAACCGCGGGTCATGTTAAAATTCAAATCGGATAAGTAGGCGGAGCCGTTTAGTTCTGCTGAGGAGATGAACATATGTTCGTCACACTTTCCATCCCCCATCGGATATCCATCAACTGTGACGCAATATCGAGGGAATGAATTTATCTTCTGAAACCCGGCCTCATAAGATCGATTGACTGCCGAATTTGAGTCAGTTAGAGTGATCGCGTATTTATTTTGATGCTGGTTAATGTTTTCTCCGCAGTTTTTGCCCTCCCTTGCAGACGAACTTAAAACCAGACTTGCGATTTCCTCGATATCATCGAGGAAGAAAATGATATTCCTCATCTGATTGGTGTGTCGCCAGTTCATAAACTCACAGTAGTCCGTTATTAATACGGTTGGGATGGATGAATTGTGTAAAGATTCGATCAAAACAAGCACGGTCGGATCAGAGTTGAAATCGGCAATGTGAAAGAATTTTTGTTCGGATTGTTGGATTGTGTTGTGACAAACTCTAAGAGCGAGCAAGACTGAGGGTCCGTGATCTTTTTCGATCACGCTGAACTTCTGAGACGTTTGAGTGTTCCTACCCATCGCAACAAATAGGCATACAATGACGTATTGAAATTTGACAGACATACTGTATTCAATTCTACTTACTGGCGGATGTCTGAGAGGTTTAAACACAGGTGGCTCAACGCTGGAGATTCAACACGGAGGATTCAAAAAAGAGGGTCAGAAACAGTATCTAAATATAATGAAGAACACGTCATGAAAATATGGTACTAAATTAACGGTAGAGTATGTTGCCGATGGAAACAACTCCTCGGTTGTGACTATTCTCTAGGGGACAATACAGCTGCATATTTTCACTGGAATATTTTGGAATTTAATTTCCTTGAAATTAAAATTTATATGTTCCCTCAACTATTGACACTCTTGCATTTCAATTATATATTGATTTTGATACGAGCAGAGAGAGTAAACAATTACACCGCATTTGTCAATAAGGAAACCGCTCAAATTACATAGCCTGT